GAGCCTCTGATGGCTTGCAACTTCACCTCCGGCGTGAGTAAGCTATGTTCCGACGAAGCGCGACGATAGAGTGGGAAATCTCTTTCCTGACCGCGCTTCGTCGAACCCGGAGCGATGCGCGACCTATTTTAGCCGACAGTTCCGCTACATCCGTCGGTGAACAAAGCCCAACGTCGAGTGACCAGAAGGCTGCACAAACTGCCAACACCCAGTGCGCCTCAATTTCATCAGCGGTGAAGCTCAGGTAGCCATCGGGAAGGGGAAAGCCTCTAAAGCCATTGGACCCGACAAAATATGCAACTTCTGAGATAATCACCTCTGGTGTGAGCAAGCTTTGGTCAACCGTGAGGTCATTGTCTAATCCGACGACGCACGACGACAGAGTCGAAATTTCCTTCGGCGACCATGCCTCGTCGGACCCGGAGCGATGCGCGAGCTACTTTAGCCGGCAGTTCATACTGCATCCTCCGGTGGACAAAGCCAAGCGTCGAATGACCAGAAGGCTGCACAAACTGCCAACAATCTGTGCCCCCTTGCTTTCACTTGCGGTGAAGTTCAGGTGGCCATCGGGAAGGCGAAAGCCTCCAAAGCCATGGGTCCCGACGGAATATGCATGCTGATGCTGAAAAAATTGGGTCCTGCGGGGGTAGCGTACCTAACGGAGGTCTTCAACTTGTCAATGGCCACTCTCATCATCCCAGACATCTTGAAGGTGGGGAGAGTGGTCCCACTGCTCAAACCGGGGAAACCTGCCAACAAAGGAGATTCCTATCATCCGATAACACTCCTTTCCCCGGTAGCGAAGACACTCGAGGCCTTGCTACTCCCGTACTTCACAAACCACCTGACCCCAGCGAAGCATCAGCATGGTTTCCGTAAAGTGCACAGTACAACAACAGCACTTAACGCCATAAACACTCAGATAACTCGTGGCCCTTACCGAAACCGTCCCTGTGAGAGAACGATTCTAGTAGCGTTGGACTTGTCAAAGGCGTTTGACACCGTCTGCCATTCCACGCTACTAGAAGATATAGAGGCCTCCTCTCCCCCACAGAGGCTCAAACGGTGGTCGGCAAATTATCTGAGTGGTCGACATTCGTCGGTAATGTTTAGAGACAAAACGAGTAAGCAGCGAAAAATAAAACAGGGGGTTCCTCAGGGTGGTGTCCTTTCCCCGCTACTGTTTAACTTTTACATTTCAAAGCTGCCTCAACCACCAGAGGGAGTCTCGATTGTCTCTTATGCCGACGATTGCTCGATCATGGCGACTGGGAATGGAATTGATGACCTGTGTTCGAAAGTAAACGGCTATCTCTCCGAACTTTCTCGCTTCTTCACTGCAAAGTGTCTAGCCCTCTCCCCTAAGAAATCCTCCGCGACCCTGTTCACAACCTGGACGAAGGAGGTCAGGCTACCGCTGGGGATTCACGTCGATGACACACCAATTCCGACGGTGAATAAACCCAAAATACTCGGAGTAACATTCGACAGCCTGCTCTCCTTCTCTGCGCACTCAACCGCTATTGTCAATAAAGTACAGAGCCGCAACAAGGTCCTCAAGTCGCTAGCCGGCAGTACTTGGGGCAAAGACAAAGAAACGTTGCTGGCAACATACAAGGCAATAGGCCGGCCGGTTTTGAACTACGCAGCGCCAGTGTGGTCGCCAGGGACTAGTAGGACGCAGTGGACGAAGCTACAGACTGTACAGAACACCGCACTCAGGACAGCGACAGGATACCTCCTGATGTCGCCTGAACACCACCTGCACGGCGAGGCGCAAATGCTCCCTGTAAAGGAGCACAATATAATGCTCTGCAAGCAGTTCCTGATCGGGAGCCACAGAAGTGGCCACCCAAGCAGACAGCTGCTTGCAGAGGAGCCCTCGCCTAGGCACGTCAGGAGGAATCTATATGAACTGACGGACGAAGTCCAGAGGTTCATTAAGCAACCTCTGGACCCGACAGCTTACCGACAGGCCCTGAACGGCATTCACAGGGACTCAGTCTCGAGTTATGTGGACTCTAGACCTGTGAATGCCGTTCTAGGCATACCACCCCCGGACATAGACGAGACGGAGCTTCATCTGCCTCGGGAGACACGCACAACACTTGCACAACTTCGCTCCGGCTACTGCAGCAGGTTGAACTCCTACCTGAGTAGGTTGAATGAGGATGTGCCGAATGAGTGTCCGGCATGCGGAGAGACCCCACATGACTCGAAACATCTCTTCGCATGCCCGGAAAACCCGACAACCCTAACGGCCTTGTCCCTGTGGAGAAACCCCACAGAAGCTGCACGCTTCCTAGGGTTGCCGTTAGTGGAACTTGACGACAACGACTGAGATACCAAACCGTCCTGGGCGGGGTTGTTGTAGCCGCTAAAACAACAACAACAAAATATGCATGCTGATGCTGATAAAATTGGCTCCTGCGGGAGTAGATTATCTCAGCAAGGTGCATGGCCTCCGTCATCGTTCCGGACATTTGGAAAACGAGGAGATTGGTCCCATTGCTCAAATCCATTTCCCCTGTAGCGAATACTATTTAGGCCTTGTTACTCCCGCACTATACGAACCACCTGACCCCAGCGAGGTATCAGCATGGATTCCGTAAAGTGCACCGCTCAACGACAGCACATAACGCCATAAATACTCAGATAACTCGTGGCCCAAACGAAACCGTCCCTGTGAGAGAACAATCCTAGTAGCGTTGGGTCTGTCAAAGGCTTTTGACACCGTAACCCACTCCCCGCTGCCAGAACACATTGAAGCCACCTCTTTCCCACAAGCACTCAAATGATGATAAGCGAATTATCTGAGTGGTCGAAATTCGTCAGCATTTTTTAGAGATAAAACCACCAAACCATGAAAAATTAAACAGGCGTTTCCACACGTTGGTGTCCTTTCCTCGCTTCTGTTTAATTACTATCATGGGTGCGTTCGAGCTACGTATTAATTACCGCAATATGGCAGCCTTGTTGCTATCCAGATGACATGCTGCTGATGCTCAACAGAAAATTTTCTAAAATGCTGCAGAAATTGCGCAGTATGTTGCTTTCGATTTGCCAATGATGAGTAACTGAATGTCAAAATTTTGTTCCTCGAACGCTTCATGTAGGCAGCGTCGCCCAAATTTTCGCGTAGAACGTGATACTCTTTCATAAAAAGTAACCCTACAGCATTTATTGCAGCTCGAATACGCCTTATCTCTTATGCTGACGACTGCTCGATAATAGCGTCCGGTAATGGAATTGATGACTTGTTTTCGAAAGTAAACGGTTATCTTTCCGAACTTTCTCGCTTCTTTACTGTAATGAGCCCAACCCTCTCATCTACGAAATTCCCGACAACCCTTTTTACCATCTGGACGAAGGAGGTCCGACTACAGCCGGAAATTCACAGTCGGGTCTACGTAACCGGAACGACCCAGATTTATATTTGGCCAAGGACTGTCACTCCAGCAACACTCCCCAAAAACTCTTGCTTTGCTCGTATGCTGCTACAACAATAACAACAACTCGGGAGAATCGTACCACCATAGCCCAACTTCGCTCTGGATACTGCAGTAGGCTAAACTCCTATCTAAGAAGGATAAAAGAAGATGTGCACAAAGAGTGCACGGCATGCCGAGTCACCCACCGACTCGCAAAACCTCTTGGTATGCCCCCTAAACCTAACTCAACTAACGCCCCTCTCTCTATGGACCAAACCAGTTGGAGTTTCAGACTGCCTAAGTCCCCCGTTAGTTGAGCTCGACGACAACGGTTAAAGTACAAGCCATTCTAGGCAGGGCTAAGCAGCCACTACAACAACAATGGTCGCGTTCATAAGACGTAGCTGTTTAGCTCATCTGCTACGAAAATGCTGGCAACTGTTGAACCCAACAGCTACGTCTTAGAAACGGCTTGATGAATATGCTGCCAAATGAACAGCTGATAAATGTAAACAAATGAAATTGCAACAAATAGAGATAGTTGCGCCGATACTATTTAGAATTCAACGCTGAACGGCCGCCGTGTTGAAAAAATCGTTCAATGTTACAAAGAATTAAACAGTGTAAATTATATAACAAACATCTTAAAAACATATATTTAGAAACGTAGTATTATTATAAAATATTTTAGTTACTTTATCACGTCAGTAATATAAAATATAATAAATTTGTTTGCACTGCCACCTAACAAAGCGCCGTTAAATTTAATATAAGCGGCGTAAGTCTTTTCGATCAGCTGTTTAGGCTAAGCCCAACACGTTGAGTTCAGGTAGCGTAAAAATTTTCCGCTGGAAAAAATGGCAGAAAGTTGCCAACTGTTGGGCTGAGCGTAACTTACCAACTGTGCGTTTCTAAGGCAAATAGCCAACGGTTGGGCAACAGCTACGTCTTATAAACGCGCCCAATGTTCCCACGACAGCCGGGTATACGTAACCGGAACGACCCAGATCTACAGCATCACTCCCCTCAAACTCTTTGTGGAATTTGTATGCTGTTACAATAACAACTTTAAATTAATAGTTGACTTGATTTCTTTTTACTTATTAAAGCCCTGTATGCAGCTCTCAAGAAAGCGGTCAAGAAAAAGTTGCCATTATTTCGCGTGTGCGTCCAAGGGATTTTGACATTTTTGATACCTCACAGCCTGTTGCCTCACTCTTTCCTCAAGAAATAATGGAATGGGCATATATTTCTGTTGCAAACCTGGGTTGCCTTGTGCTCTTTTTTCACAAAAAACATTAGAAAACCGTAGTAGAAAGCGTACTAAATTTCTTAAGAACTGCGTACTGCCTTAAGGAAATTTGACTCAAGAAAATTTCTTAGCCATTTCTTGTACGTCATTTTATATGGAGTTTTTGCTTTTCTTGAGAGCTGCATACAGGCCTTAATCAAAGAAAAGTATTGAAATAAGCATGTAAAGTTGAAATTAGAATTTTTACATTTTTTCCTTTTCCGCTAGTCCATATGAGAATCGCGGGTTAAAAACTGTTCTCTTTAACAAAGAATCAATTGTGAATGCGGCACCTTAATAGAAGCAGCATAAAATTTTCATAAACAAGAAGTCCTTTTTAAGAAAATTTGCAATTTGTCGGAGAACAAGCGACTAAAATTGAATAACGCCCGGAAAACATTAAATTTGTATTTTATCTGGTGAAAATTATTGTAGTGCTATTTTAGTATGGCGTCAGTACGCATTCCAAAGCAAAAGGTGATCCTCTGTGGCGAGTATGGAGTGGGAAAAAGTTCATTGTTTCGTCGTTTTACCACCAACACATTTGGTTTGTAGACATAATTGTTTTTTGAACTATGGGAAGTGAAAAAATTATTTGTAATTCTCTTTGGCACACATAAACACATTGGTCACTGACACTTATCATAACAGTGACAGATACTGATCGCAAATCTACACTGGGCTTGGATCACATAGACCGTGACTACACGGTTGGTGATAAACAAATCAAGGTAAGCCGCAAAATTGATACCATACCCATTGAATATGTATACATATGGATATATAAATTAACATTTTCACAAATTTAGCTACAACTATGGGATACTGGCGGTATGGAGCGTGTTGCATCTGTTACCTCATCATACTACAAATTCGCTGAGGGTGCCATACTAGTTTTCGCCATGGACAATGCTGCTTCTTTTCATTCCTTGTCACAACATCTACTCGACATTGTTACTTATGCCGAAAATGCGAAAATTTTCATTTGTGGTAACAAAAGTGATTTGGCAGAGCGTGAGCCACAGGTGACCGACGCTGAAGTAGAAGCCTTTTGCGAACAGTGCCACAGCTTGATTAGTGCCACTTATAAGACCTCTTGCAAAACTTCGCAGGGTGTTGAGGAAATGTTTCGCGACATCTCCCGTATACTTGTCGATGCCAATCGTTCTAAAATGGAACTCCAAGCTTTGGAGCAACATAGTTTCAAAATTGATTCAGCTGCTGAGGCTGATGCAGGTGAAGAAAGTTCGCAATGTATTTGCTAGCAAATGGGGAATGTGGAGTTCGGCTAAATAAGAGTGAATGCGAACTTCATACATAAAGATTGAGGGATATTTGTAGGCATTTTATGCGTATTAATGAAAATTTATTTATTTATTTATTTTTCGTTTCGATTGTGCTTTCTTAAAGGTGACTAAGTTTCTGGACTAAAAATTGTTAAATGAGCTTATCTACGCTAATTTTGTAGTTTTTGTTACAATCCGTCCAAACTCCTGAAACTTTGAGTTTGATTACATTTTCTAAAGGGCTTTTTTTATTTTGTCGGAGCAAAACAGAAATCTGAAGCATCACTATTTATATACATACGTATGTATTGTCGTAATTGGTGTATAGGTGTATGAAACTCTTATTTTATATTTATGTACGAAAATAAAGGACATTACTAAAACAGGTGTCACAATATAAAAATTTAGTTTGGGTTTGTTTTAACACTGCGACCCAGCTATTCTCAAATACTCATAGTCGTAGACGTGAAATGTAGCAGCATTTTACCTTTGAATAAAATAAAGTGAAAAATTTAAATAAAGTAAATAACTTAAGCATCTAATAATTTTCTAGGATACATTCCATTAATTTCATTAAAAGGCATGAATTTCATGGCATTATTCATGTGTATATATTTTTTATGATTTATTCTAAACTAATTTATTTAGATGTTTTTTGTGCATTTCAACAAAGAAACACCATTACATAGCCGAGAAGGGAATGTATAACTTTAATGACCACAAATACACGCACTAAATAAATATACGCGATAACATACATAATACTACAACAATAAAAAGATCACTCTTAAATTACCAACTAAGCAGTGGGTGCACTTGATGAGAACGTCAAATAAAGGCTAACACCAACAGCTACCACAAAACATACACCGACTACATATAGAACATATTTTTCCCGTAATGCTCGTAACATCATTGAATTCAGAGTACGCGAAGCTCGTCCTAGATCCGCATTGGTTTCTCGTAAACGAGCTCGTGCGCCATGCAAAACTTCACGTTGATGGCTCAAATCATTAAGCACTTGAGCGCCTAACGCCTCTGTTTCTAGTGCAACTCGATAACCATCCACTAAACGATTTCCCGTGCGTTCTATACGTTCTGAATTTTCCAATAGGTGTTGTCGCTGATCATTACTTATGGAAATATCATCATAATAATCGCCATCACCACCACCCAACTCTAAGACTGTCATGTGTTGTTTCTGCTGAGCTTCTTTGGCACCACGATAATCGGATTGTAGTCTTTTCAATTCCACTTGCGCACAACTGACTTTATTTTGGAAACTTGGACGCAACGTAACATCTACATCCCGTATTTCCAAGGTCATTTGCTCTAAAAGTTCATGCGCTTCTGCAAGACTTGCATCGATTTTGGAGCTTAGGTGTCGGCGTTCCACTGCAAAAGAAATACATATGTACTTGTTTTTATTTTGCACTGTATTCGGATCATTCTTACCTCCTTTCAATTGTTTTAGTTGTGCGATTTCAGATGTGATCTCCGCAATCAGTACAGCATATTGCTGTTCATACTGTTCTATTAGTAACATGTTGATTTGGATATTTTGCTTTATAGTTTTTAGGATTACAAGTGCGAACCAAAAGAATTTTTCCAATTAGTGAATTTATTTATGAATTATGCCCAATTAGAGATAAATTCAATATCAGCTGATAAAAATTTTTGGCACAACTCATTCACAATAAAATGAAAATAAACTTTGATCGACACAAAAATATCGATAAAAATCATATTTCACCGAAATGTTATCGATTTGAATTGTCAAAAAGTTGTTTTTCTTGTCACTGGACTGCCACACGTGTTTACAAACTCCTGAAGTGCTTAGTTTTTTAGTTTTTTCGCAATAATTTCTTTAAATAATTTGTAAAAATGTCTGACAAGTAAGTTAGAATGTTTGTTTTAAAACTTTTATTATATATTAAAATCTTCGCTTGCCTACAGATATGCTGTCCCCAACAAGTTGCCGGGCAAAACTGTATCAGTCCTTGCGCACCGCAAACGCCGTATCCTTCAAGATAAAGCTACCATTGAGCAGAAGAAAGCATTAAAAACCAAAAGAGTTGCAAGTGCGAAAAGACACCATAAATTCCGTCGCCCGGAATCATTTGTTATGAATTATCTAAAAGCAGAAAGAACGGCTAATCGCATCAAGCGAACCATTCAACGCACCAACTTGGTGGCAACGAAAGATGCCGATAAAACCAATAAGAAACTACTTTTAGTTATGAGACACGCCGGGTAAGCAAACGTTATTAAATTCATAAACATTTAAAATTTTTGTTTATTCTGCAGTAAAAAGATCTTTGACCAAACCACGGATAAAATATTTAACACTCTGCACATGCCTAATCGCCACAATGCTGTATTTCTAAAAAATGATAAAGAAACACAAATACTGTTGAAGGTTATTGAACCGTTTGTAATTTATGGATACCCTTCATTGAGTACAATTCGGGAGTTGCTGTTTAAGAGGGGTTTTGCTCGCGTTAATAGCAGAAAAACGCCCATTCAATCCAACACTTTGGTTGAAGAACATCTTGGTGATAAAGGAATAATTTGTTTGGAGGATATTATTCATGAAATTTATACAGTAGGACCTAACTTTGATGCGGTTAAAGAGTTCCTTTGTTCATTCATGGTAAATGTTTTTATATTCATGTATCTAGTTGAATAATGCCACTGATTTCTTACATAGCTTACTAGTCCACGAGAAGGTTGGAAAAAAAAGGTTTCAGTACCGTACAAACGTGGTGGTGAATATGGCGACAGGGGCGATGCTGTCAATGAATTAATAATGCGTTGCATATAAGCATTGCGTTTTAGTTTAACAGTGGCTTTCAAATATTTTTATTTTCTTAAAAAATAAAATATTTTTAGAATAAGTGAATATAAATGAAATGTTTGTACTCTTAATTTGTATTATGGCTGATCAACAGAGCTTGGTAAAAGCAATTACCATTACATTCCTCAGTAATTGTAATTAGGATTCAATTCCTTCAATCCACAGCAAAGGAATTGATTACTTTTTCTATTACTTAGAAGTAATTTCAAATAGAATTTTTTTCTCTTAATTCCTTTACAAGGAATTGCATATTGTAATTGGAATTAATTACATGGTAGTAATGTGAGTTTTTTCCAATTCCTTTGAAAAGCATTGAAAATATAATCAATTTTCCAGGCATTTTAGTTTTTCCAAATACTCGAAGGAATGTAAAATTAATTGAGAAACTGACAGGTCATTCACGAATGTGAATATGGAATTTTGGTTGTGGTCAAAGATTAAAATCGAACCCATATATTAGACATATTTTCTCTAAAAGTATTGTATTTTATTTCTTGGCGAAGTATTAGGGCGGGTTATGCCTGCTTCGAAATATACGGGTCTTATCTTTCGCGAAGCGCGTTCATAAACCAACCAGCTACATGGAAGTTCTTCCAGTTAATAATTAACAATATGCAATAAAAAAAAAATACTTTTGAAATCGTTGTTATTGTAGCGGCTACAACAACCCCGCCCACTTCGACTAGTCCCTCAATCGTTGTCGTATGGGGTCCGTCCATAGGGACAGAGGCGGGAGTTGATTGGGGTTTAGTGGGAATGCGAAGAAATGTTTCGCGTCGTAGGGATGGGACATGGATTAGACAAGGGTTAGAGACATGAGCCACTTAACAGTAGTAAGGGTTTTTATTTTTTGAATTTTGAATTGTGTCGTTATTGCCGAGGACCATCGATATGTAGTTCAGAATTTTCTTAAGGCATCATTGGAAAATTTTATTTAATTTCAATTCTCTCTTTGCTCCATTAAAAAGAAAAAATAAAAATAATTGTTCATTCAAAAAACTACAAGAATTTATATTTCGACAACTATTCAAATGTCCAGCAAAAATGATTCGCTTATTGACGAGGACATTGATTATCAAACAGTTTCCACCGGCCACTCCATTAGCATTGAACGTCCCGAACGACTACATGAATGGCTCAAAGCTGATGATATCGAATACATACGTCACAAATGCATTACACATCCTCTACAAAAACTCAATCTTCGAGAACTACGTGAAGCGCTTGATAATCTCGATATAAAATTTACTGATATTGAATACAATCGTCTCTTTCTTAAAATCAATCAAAATCGGGACTTTCTTTGCGACTGGAATGAATTTGTATCCTACTTGATATTTGGTTTCCAAGAAGATGATCCGAGTACCCAGAAGGAGGCACTCATTCTACCTATATCGACTGCACCAGTAATTAAAAAATCTGAACATCGCTCACCCATTTGCTCTATAAGTTTATTACGCGCACAAGCAGACGAGATGGACGAGGATGATGAGGGTGGCAAACAAATAAATCCGGCTCTTGAAGATTCGCCAGAAGCTTGTGGGATGTGGATAACAGCTAGTCATGAGGGTCAAATACGTTTCTGGTCTAATACACTTGAGCCGCTGCGTAGTGGCACTTCGGAAAGTAGTAAGTTTTCGACCTGTTTAAACTGTGAAAGGGATATACATATGTATGCATATACATTCATTTTGGCCGAGTTGAACAAAGTACGCCAGTCGTTCCTTTCTGTGCAGACTGATGCCAATTGGAAATGCCAAGTCCTTCACTTGGTCTTGCAGCACTATGTCAACGCAGTGGTAAAGCTCATCCAGCATATCGTTCCATCGTCTGCGGTATTCGCCGCAAAATCTTTCTCTCGAATACTCCAAGAGCCGCCTCATCGGATGTTGGTTGGTTGGTTGGTTTAAGTGGATTGTTACCCTGATGAGAAGCAATTAGCAAGTTGGCCATTTCGATTTCACAACTCGTGCAACCGCCATTTGGCGGCTTTGCTAAATTTCAGTACGTCATACAGAGAGAGGCAGCTGAACTCTGCAGGAATGGTTTGCGGAGTGTCTTTAGCCTCATCTTTGCGTGGCCTGGACACTCACATAGCAAGTGTTCGACTGTCTCTTTTGAGCTCGGGTCATCGCAACTGCGGCATAACCTATTGAAGGGCAGTCCTATCTTTTCGGCATGCACCCCAACGGTCCAGTGCCCTGTGCAAACTGCAGAAAGTTTGTAGGCATCTGTTCTGCTCATTCCTAAAAGAGCTTTGCTTTTAAGTGTGTCGTAGGTCACCCAGAACTGTCGGATAATCCTGTAAGATCCTGCGCAGTTCCACCTTTGCTTGGCCCTTGCGAATGATAAATCTCAGTAATTTTTTTCTTAATCTCCCCTGGCTATCTGAGAGGTTATTCACCTGCGTTCTCTCGAGTACATTCTCTTTGATGTACCTTACTGCCTCCATAATAGCAAACGTCTCGCCCTGGAAAATGCTTGCTTGTTCTGTCGGCAGAATGATAACTTTAGGTTAAATTGCTCAATGAAAACCCCTGCAACAACTCCGCATTCCTTCTTTGACCCATCCGTAAACACAGTTAAGTCCGGAAAGAACCCGAAATTTTCCTGATTGCAGTCACTGTGGCTTGGGAATTTCGAGCGGGGTTTATGGTGAGCCCATATTATGTGTAATAATACTTTGAATTCCGCTTAGCTTTTTAACTACGTAACTTAGTAAGGGTTGGCCCCCAGACCAGCGCCTCGTAGTAGATTATGGGTCAGACTATAGCCGTGTACATCCAGTGCACAATTCTTGGTTTCAAACCCCATCTGTTGCCCAACTTTCTCTTGGCTGCATAGAAAGCCACTGTGGCCTTCATAGCACACTCTTCAATGTTTGGGATCCAGAACAACTCCAAGGTATTTCACCTTGTTTGACAGATCCAGTTCCGTTCCTCAGAACTTTGGTTTAGTAAAATTAGGTAATTTTGTTTTATTTGTGAAAAGCATAAGGTCACTTTTCTCAGGGTTGAATATAGTAATTTTCTTAACAGATGGCAACCCTATTCAAAAAATAAATGATTAGTGATTTTCTAGAGGCCAATTATTTTCATTTGGCACCTCATTTTTTGTAATCCAACGAACGGGGCGGATCTTATAGTTTTTTTTAAAAAAGGCCACTGTCCTATCGATAGCGAATATTTTAGAGAAAATCTCGTCAAAATCCGTTCAGTAGTTTTCGAGATTACCCCGTACAAACAATCTCGACTTTCCTTTGTACTATGTATAGATTTATATTTATATATATTTATATTTATATTTATATTTATATTTATTATAATCATCTAACCATCTCAACTCTCCTTATGTAAAGTATTTAAATTATTACTCTTTACTTTGTACTTTACTTTATCTATGTACATACATTAGGGCGGTGAGGGGCACCGAAATTGCGCATATGGAAACTGTGCATTTAGACATTATTTCGGTTTTCAAACGAAAGTGTGCATGTATGCATTATTTCGGGTTTTTCATATGCATTATCTCGGTTTTCAACCGAAACTGTGCATATATGCATTATTTCGGTTTTTTTCATATGCATTATTTCGGTTTTCAAACGAAAGCATGCATATGCATAATTTCGGTTTTTCTAATATGCATTATTGCGGTTTTCAACCGAAACTGTGCATATATGCATTATTTCGGTTTTTTTCATATGCATTATTTCGTATGCACAGTTTCCATATGCACAATTTCAGGGTGCCGGGCGGTGACTATGCGCGTATAGCATAGGAGGATTCTACGTGTAATTCTAAGCAAATTTTCTGAAGAAACTATGGGTCTAAAATGAATTTGAAGTTAGCCAAATTGGCAAACTCCAAATTGGTTTTAGACCCAAGCTATGTGCTATACGCGCATAGTAAAAAAAAAGGAGTGAGTACTAGGTACTCATGAAGTTTGATGTGTAAACATATTCGAACGGCAAAGCATAAAAGTACGTTTACATATAAATATAATCTCAATCAAAGCTCGTTAGCTGTCAAATTTGTTGTGCTTGTTATTCACACAACTCGAGGAAAAGTTAAACTTCTTCTCTGTGCCACCGTGGTCACTTTTTTCTGCAACACATATTATGCCAATTAAATATATTTTAACTGAATATTTTATTAAAAATACCTTTACAAACCTATTTTCCTTACAAGCGTCAATTTTTGTTTACTTTAACATTTAACATTCCACCTCTTCTTCGCAAGTTTAATCGATAAAACTAGGTTGGACACCAAAAAGTTATCGGGTTAATCTGAGATATTTTTAATTATAATTTTGCATGGCTAATCTCTTTTTCTAATAACAGATTAGGGAGTTAAGCTCGAAAATTTGGATAATCTTTTTATATGTAAAGCTATTATTAGGCGATTCAGTTACATACATACAAATGTAGGTTAGGTTAGAAATTAAACATTAAAATATCTTGGAAACACCGCATCAGTTATTGTTTTTGATTATAGTTTGAGCATTTCTATTTGTATATATTCCTAAATTTAGTTTTTCTTTTCGGAATATAATCTGTGGTTCATGTAAATGAGAGCGATTTTCGGGAGAGTTGTGTAGAGATTGAAGTTGCAGGATTTTACCCGATGCTTTTTGACACGAAAAGTATTGGATCAGAACTATTATTTCATCCATACATATGCATATTATACATACATATATTCATGTATGTTCATCAGTTATCAACGGTCCCAGTTAAAATGATTTCAGCACTTTTTTAAATTTTCGCCTTGCTTTTTTATCAAAATAGACTACTAAGCCTATGCCTAAAACCCTCTACGAATATCAAAACCAGCGCATGAATCACGTATGGCGACAATCGTCTGAACGATATCGTGTCGAGATTGTCTTGCTTCATAAAAATCAAAAATTGTTTGATCATTTGTGCGATATCGTCAACTCAATTCCAGTTTTGCTTTACGTAACAGTAACAGTAACACTTAACAGCAACAAAAATGCATTTATTATTTTCTTATGAAAGTATACCTCAAAACTTGCTAAAATTCCGAGTCCCAATTTATAACAGGTGTCGATATGAAAATAAAAAACAACATCAAACCAACAAGTTATTTAAAAAAATGTATTTTTGAATTTTTTTCGTGAAGAACCTACGCATGCCCACGCTCTTATTAAAATTCTTAGTATTGAATTTAAGAACTTTAGTGGCTTCCTTGGGACATATAAATTATTTTATAGAGAAATTTCGATTCGATTCCCGTTTGTGGATGAATTGCCTTTACAAAAATACCACAAACGTTTACATTGCAGACTAAGAATTTTTAGATTTTTGTCCACTACTGTTCTCGATGTTTTTGCTCCTTAACTGTAGAAGTCTATAATAATTATGCCAATTCGTCTTTCTTGAATTCTTAATGAGTGTATTTTTTTCTTGGATATCTCTGTAATTTGGCGTTAAGGCTTCTGAAGAGACCCCCAATGTGAGATCAGATATCAGCCGAGTTGTAACCAAGAGTGATATCCAGAACGTCTTCTCTCTGCAGAGGGGATTCACGAAGATCATAATGGCGAATTTCCACTAGGCATTGAAATGACAAAAAATTTATTCTATTTAAAAAATTCCATGTGGAAATGAACTTAATGACTATTTTTTTAACGTAATGACATGATTATTTTTTAATGCCTAACTTTGTCATTTAAAATTTTTGCAATTTAATGCCTAGTGAAAATCCAGCATAAGAGTTGTATTGTCATTTTATACATATATGTAGGGTTAAACACAAACTGGGAAAAATTATAGAATTTAAGAAGCTATCACATATCGTTTTGATGCCTTGTGAATCTCCTAGTTATGCAGATCTTAAACTTTAATATTTCCCAGAAAGCGTGTACACGAAAATTGTACGTGTCTCCATGTACATATGTATATGTTTGTATGTATGTTCACTTTTAAATAAAGTTTCCGTGGGAGTCAATGACTGGAATAATGAAATTGTCACAGAAGAAAATATGGGTTACGTTTTATTTATGTAATAAATAAGTATGTATGTATATATGTAACAACATGTCCGTAAACCAAACTTTCGTAAAAGGTAATTTACATATCATTTCGTAAACTTATGTAGGTTCGCGTGTTTGATTTGAGAAGAAATCGTTTAAGCTGCAAAGGAATTTAGTACATAAATGGCGAATGGCGGATGGGCGTACCAACGAATAAATAATGCAATATTTAAATTTATTGCTTAAGACATGCTGCTACATTAGTGCAAACATGTTTACATACATATGTACATGCAGTTCTTACTTATGTAGTTATATTTTTCACAATCATGTCAAAATGTAAAAACATTCGCAAACAACTGTTGACGTTTTAACGACTTTTGTGGCATTTGATTTGGTTATTATTCGTTGGCATGTCGCATGTGGCATGCGACAATAATGGATGGCACCTGTTGCATCACCCACATACCAAATAAGAAACTTGTTATTTTCTGTAGTAATTTTCTTTTCTTGGTACTCGTATACATATATATCACAGCATACCGGAGGAGGAGCGGAGCAGCACATTTGTATGCCACTACTTCGCTTGCTGTTTATATTTTTGCGCAAGGAGCGCTTCTTGACGCGCACCAAACGAGTGATTAGACATCAACCGGAGCCTATGCTGTTGAGTTCATATAAGGCGCATATTAAAGCAATCAATTCCATCGTATACATTAATACGCCGAAAATATTGATATCGTAAGTAAATGCATGTTGTTTTTTTTTTTTTGTGTATTATTTTGGTAATTAAAATTGTATTAAAATCGCTGTTTTATTGAATACTTTTTCCGATTTAGCGGCAGTCACGATTGTTCTTGCCGCTTATGGTCACTTGGCGGTCGTTATCTTGGTACTTTGGGCACACCTTTACCCTGGCTTAGGTTATCACCCTTCGAAGCAGTGGAGGAAGATCAACAATATCGTATGCCGCCCGACATCAAAAAAGTGGCAAGCTCCACAACAATGAAGGTAAATTTACTTAGATAATTTCGAGGGTGTAGAAACATAAATTTTAACACATATGCACAAATGGAGATATCTCACAAAATTGTGTTTAACGTGGATTTTTCTTGCTCTAACTTACTCTACTTTTTGTTTCATGAGCCTGCGCTAAATGGGACTAGAGCAATTTAGAGCACGATTTTCTGCACCAGCTTTTTTTATGGAGTAACTTAGAGCAAGCAAACACACATACACACTTTACATTTGACGAATTGAACTGTCGAGCAATCAACTGTTTTGAGAATTTCTACCTGAAAAGTGTTTCATGAGATTTATGATCTGACTTGCTCTATTGTTTTTTTGACAGCTGCTCTATTCTGCTCTAAGTTGAGCTGCTTTGCACTTTTTTCGGTTTCATTAAACACAACTATTGTCACTTAACTTAATCAGCTGACCACAAGTGTATGTAGATACTTTTTCTGCCGGCAAACCTGTCGTTGGGCAATCGGAAACCGGAGCGTTGTTGTTCTAACAGCACATAAATCACCCGAAGAGTTTTTGGGGAATAATAGTTGCGTTTTTTTACTAATTTCCAGTAAAAGTTTTTACGAATTTTCATGTTTTGGCGTTTTCGTACGCAAAAACTTGCAAAGTAGGGGAAATTGAGAGAGCGAAAAATGACAGCTGAAGTTGCAAGTTTTTACTGGATAAATTTTTACTTTTAAGAATAGTTGCAAGTTTTTACTGGATTTTACTGGATAAATTTTTACTTGTAAGAATTTGCCAGTACGAAAAACAGCTGATCGCATGTTGCTGGATGAAATTTAAACTAATAAGGAAACTGTTTGTGGCCTCTTATTGTTGAATTTCACAAAATAAACCTATTTAAATACAAAATAGATTGTTTTATAAGGAATTTGCTGCGAATAAACAACCAATTTATCAGCTGTTCATGAAACTTGCAAATTATTACTGGAAAAGCGTTCGCGTACTTTTTTGCAAATTTTTTCTATGAGAGCGAATTCTTAGAAATAAAGTTACTGGAGAGTTATTGGCAAGTTACTGGATAATTTGTAAAAAAACACAATTAATGTTGGAGTGACTGTTCTTTGCCGGATATGAATCTGGATCGTTCAGGTTAGACCCCACTGCAGAGGGAGCGTGCAAAACGTCCCTCTCTTGGGTCTTTCGCTATGCATCGGATGAACGAAATTGTTTGCACAAAATCAAAGCGGAAATAGGATATTCGAAAACATGTATTTGAAAGAAAGCACTCACCATTTAATGTATGTATGTATGTATATTCTAACTTCCAAGTTCCAAAGTTATTCATCCCACTTTGCTGAATTTTATATGTTGGGGAACATTTTTGTGGTATCATTTGTAATAATAGTTGTGGCTTTATTGACGAGCAGCGCCCGAATTTAATACCTCACACCGGTGGTGCCGGTATCAATTACCAAGCACGCACTTACATATGTACATATGTACTTTGAATAAATTAACATTCATCAGCGTTTGTTGATCAAATAAAACGATTTTAAATAAAACACTACAGTACAAAATTTAATCGAACAAACCGAGACATTTGCGAAAGGAACCGAACTGGAAATTAAGCACTCATCAAAGGACTTTTAGTTTGAGTATTCAGACTTTTTACATTTATTGGGTATACATTGAGAACTAAAGATCTACGATTATTGTACACTTGCACTTTATCGACATCATACGACACTTGTACTATATAGACGTATAGTGACTTATAAATACGCGCTTATTCATAATTACATTTTAGCGAAATTGATACTGCGTTTTTTCCTTAACAATTGCTAGCATTTAGCTTCTTTTATGTATTTGTGTTATTTATCACTTTTTAATAAGTGAAGTAAGCCCTCACTTTATTTATTTATATTTGCGAAAATTCATTCACGAATAATGCACTATAAATTGCTTTTTGCCTTTGCCTTCACACATGACAGTTTTGTTAACTGTTCGAAATGACCGCGGCAGCGTACGATGCCACGTGGTGTATGTACAAACCGCTATCCGTACGGAAATGCCAAAAACTACAGGGTGGTGTTAGTCAGGTATGTGCTTACAACGATAAGCGTAGTAGGAAACAACTCGAAAGGAAAGGCGCAAAATAAAAGGAAACGGAAATAAAAGGCAAAAAATTGAATAAAAACTTCAATGAGAAAATATTATATGTATATCAAATATAGGTAATAAATTAATTACCCATGCACATTGAGTACAAAAAATATGCGATTGAAGTGATTCTAATGGTCTGATTATGCATACTTCGCATAACTTCGCACAACTTCGCATAAACTTTAAACTGTAATTTCGTATGTACTTTGTATGTATTCTATTACCCATAAATTAGCAGAACTTTTAAAAACTTAGGGATACGTTTAGTTTAGTTTTTGCTTCATATTTTCTTAAGTTAAATTTTTATTGCACTGGTAAAAATGGTTGTGCAAAGTTATGCGAAGTATGCATAATCAGACCTTTAAGCTTTATGCACTCGTTATTCAATTCATGATCTGTTGATAATACTTTTGACCCAGCTACGTAGAAATTTCGCGCTGCTTCTCTGACAAGTCGAACCTTTGATGTAGTCAGCAACAACCTCGCATTATTAAGTTAAAACGTCACACCAAGTTTTTAGCGCTTTTGCCACACAAACAACTTATAGTTCAAAAATACGCTGGAAGCCTAATAAAAGGCACCCAACGCTTTACTTCCTTGAATTTACCAAAAACTATACCACCAAAAATTTATCAAAAATATCGTTTCAATAACTTCAATTAGTAATCAACAAATACATTCGAAATTCTTCCACATTCAGGTGATTAGCGGCGTTCAAGAAGATAAAATGCCAGCACCTTACGATCCGAAGGCAGCGGATGATGATGAAGCCGTTGCAGCAGAAGCTACAGCGCGTATGTACGGCAAACCTTTGAAAGAACCCATTCTTGGTAAATACTTTGAATTGCCCGGCAAGAGTGCTACCGAACAGCGTATCGATTTGGATACATCACTTTCGTATATACCGGTTTTTACACATTTGAAAATACACGAAGCCGATGATATTGAACGGCCACCCACACCACCGACAATACGTCGCATAGGCAATGAAGACTATATGGAGTTTTATAATCCGAAAAAGAAGTGGGGACCAGGACAGAAAAAACCAAAAGAGTTTAAATAATGGATAAAGACAAAAATTAGAAGAAAGAAATGGCAGCAAATAATCGCACAGGTGTTCCGGAATTATTGCAAATTTTCTAGTAATTTGAAACTACATATGTACATACATTTGTATATTGATAGCATAATATCTATATTCTGTATTTACTTTATATAATAAAAATTTTCAACTCATTACAAGTCATTAAACATTATGCATATTTCTTATGAGCTATATACATAGTTAGTTAAAAAAAGAATTGTGCATAATTTTCATAGGTAAATGTTACACTCTAACTTACTCTTGTAATAAAGAACACGCATCAAACATTTGGCCGGCAATATGTAGATAATTGGTTGGCTCTTTCTGCGAGAGTAAATGGAAGCAGTGTGCCACTAATTTTTTTAAAGCAATGATATTAATCTCATCTCCGTCAGTAGCGGATATTTGAACGTATCCACTCGGTGCATCGCGCTATTGTATGTAATAAAAAAAAAAATTTATAAATAGCATAGATATAAAAAAGTGTGTCTCACATACCAGTCTATCGAGAAAATGCAAAAGCACATGACCCACAGACGCAATTTTCATGTAGGCATCGCGCGATGCCTTCGCAATCAAGTTTAGGCGCCGGCCCGCTACCTCCAGAAGCAAACGTGCAATATGTTCATCGTCGCGCAACTCTTTTAACAGCGGCTCACCGTGAGCGTCGTAACCATGCGCGTACATTTCCACTGCCTGCATTAACAAAAAAAAAACAACAATTTTTGTAATGTTATACAGGTGATTTAGCAAAACCAAACACTAACTTGTTGACGTATAAGCGCCGTTTTCTTCAACTTCCAACTTTCTGCCAATGCCATAATCTTCTGCATACACTCCTCATGCTCTAGCACGTACAACTGCTCCAAGTCTTCGCGTATTAAGTCCATTGAGGCAGTAATTACTTTGCATAAGAAATGCTCACGTTGCTGTTGCAACACCAAATCCGCTTCTGGCAGCTCAAAAGGCAGCTCTTTATTGATATCACTGAAGAAAGCCTTATTTGCCATGGCATCGAATACATTTGTAATGGGTTTAGGCATTTTAATTTGAAATTCTGCTATCAAATGTAATACAGCGCATAACTCATAGTGCAATTGTAACAACTCTTCAATAGCATTGTGCTGTTGCAACGCGAGATACTGCAGGGGAAGCTGACCATCCGTCAGCGACTCCTCGAACTTCAATTCACGGCTGTTGTGGTCGAGTGAACTGCTGAAATGTTCTAAAAATTGTAAACTTAATTCGAGAAATTCAGGCACCAAAGCGGCAGACATTTCGATATCCTGTTGGCACATTTTATCCTTCGGCAAGCGACCCGCCTTTTGTATTAGTTTCATAGTCGATTGCAGTGGATACTTAAGAGTGGCATTCCAAAGCATACAACAAATGCCATGCTTCAACGCATAATCTACCGGCTTGAAGTTGGACATGCATGTGAGTGCAGCGCGCATATATTGCAAGCATGGTAAATTTTTACTCCAATGTACCATATACTGCCATGACATAAGACTGAGCAGCATACCCGATTCCAAACTAAATGGAAAATGTTCGCGCAGAAGTGCCAATTTTTTTAGTACTGGATCATCTGTGGACTCGACTCGACAAGAAGGTTTCTTGTCTGACAAGCATTGATCACCCCCACCTACATTAATAGCTAACTCCTCGTTGTCTTCGATTGTATCCGTAATAGTTGGAGTCTGACTTTTCTCTTGCACACCAATCTCGTCTACTAGTACTACTTCGGTTTCAAGAATTTTCAAAGGATGTATGCGGGAGTTGATCAACCATTGGGCAGTAAGATCCGTGACAATGCCTTTGCCCCCGTTGACAATAAATTTTAAACTACAATCTGGTGGTTTATATGGTAGTTCGGGCATAACGGGTTCAGTACTCTGTATTGGATGCCTGAAATAATGTCAATAGTTTACGTATGCATCACAAAACTGTTCATATATATAAATTTTATGCACTTACTCTACAGTGGCGCCTAATATTGAAATATCTTCCAATTTGCCGATGAGTAAACCCCATTGTGCTTGATCGTGTGAGATTTGTTCCCACTTTTCTTCTTCCTCTGCCTGCGAACCCTCGTCGCAAGAGCCCTTATAATTTTTAAAAAGAAAAAGATATTAAATAAAATATCAAACAATTCAATATCACAACTGTTTATCGTACTTCTTTAAAGCCCCGTCGAAGTTTGGCTGCCACTGACTTACACACAATGGCCGCAAGTAAGCCAAGTGATTTGGGACTTTCCAAAAGTATTTCACGCACATCCTGCCACCATTGTGAGATGGCATTGTATGCATAGTCGTTGACACGATCGCCTGCTAATTCGCAGAACGCTTTGATCATAGCTGCCAGCCGTGACATATCAGCAATAACTTCATCACTGAAAAGTAAGTAAATAGTTTTGTAAAGTTTAAAAATACCAAACCTGCCTTCTAGCTGTACTAACCAGTTTTGATATCGGAATGGCTTCTCCATCCAAAAGTGTAGCGCCAAAACCATCAAATCTTCAGCAGGTATTTTTGCTTTAACCGCTGCCGATTTTAACTCTTCAAAGCACAAACCGCTTTCGAAAAATTCCCTAAAAAGCCGCCCACTTATATAGCCAAAGCTTTCGATTTTTTCGCGTAGGAGCGGTAATTTATCCTCAATATCAACTTGAAAAATGCTTAAAAAGTCAACAAAGTCACCATCTTCCTGACACCGCTCTTGAAATGTCACCCGTCCACTAAAATGAGCACCTTCGTCGATATCGCTTTGGGTTGGTTGTGCACATTTGTCGCCCAGTAATAAAACGACTTGGTTGATAGTTACCAAATCACAATCATCTAATTCTAAATAGTCATCGAATTCTGCTTCGCTTGGCCGCTTCATTGTTAAATAAAATTCTGCGAGCCGTTTGTAATTATCAACCATAATTTTAAAACTACCGTGCTCTGCATTTGCGTCGCCGTCCTCCTCTTGCGTTTCTGTGCATAATGAGTCGGCAAAGGCGGATACAATTTTTTGAAATATATGCGGTTTTAACTGCTTATTTTTCTTTAACATCTCAAGGCATTGTTGGCGTACTTCGATCGTTTGAAAGCCTGCGGCTACTTGGGTAATTTCGTCCATGCTAGTAGAAGTTTCACCTTCTCGCAAAAGATTCTTGAGCCGACGAAACAAGTGTACATCGCGTGAAGTTTTCGAGTTGGTCTCACTTAGCGCAAAATGGAAGGGTATTTGCATCTCTTTGACGCTACTATCGCTGGGATCTAAAAACAAGCAATAATTCGGTGAGGATGATTTCACCTTCATGCCTGGTGGTACGCCTAAAAAATTAGACATGAAAACAAAGTAAATATATTCAGTTAGATATTTTTTTCTCCTCGTTACTCACCCATTAAACCATGTGTATTGTATGCTAATTGTCCATTTTTGGTAACCGTGAATGCGGCAACTTTTGGACCATTTTGCAATGCCCAGATCTCCAAACAACCCAAACGTGGCGCATATATAACGAGAAACAGTGCTTTTCGATGTTGTGTTTGTACTCCTTTCAGTGAACGTTCTTTTACAGGCACAAACGCAAATTGTGCGTCTCGATAGCCCTTCCATACACGTAACGCTATTCCACGTTGCAGGTCGAAAAGAACAAGACGATCTAAGCTATCAGTTACGACAGCCAGTCTACCATTTGGTGCGAGCGCAACATTGAAGCCATCACGCTTTTTATCATATAATTGCGAACGTGTACGCATCATTGATTCCTTTGCTATAGAAGGTGTATCATCTTCTTTCCTCTCGGGCTGTCCAAATAATTTTCCCCAAACACTACGATAAGTCAAATCTAAGACACCTTTTGCTACATCACTTAACGTTGTCGTACGGTAGCCTTCTTCTGCATAATAAAATCCCATATATGGATCTGCACCTACTCCAAGCACCAACGAATGTTGAATGGGCGTAGTTGAAACTTTAGCATAACATCCAATACCAACAGCCTGCTCAATGATGTGATCATACATGGTGGTATAACGTGGGCCAGTGAATACGGCGTCGTTAATAATAGTACCATTTTGTTTTGAAAATTTAAATTTTTGGTACTTTAGTAAATCTGCTGTAGGCAAGCCTGACGCTTCATTAGGCGTATTACGACCAAATGTACGGTTAAAATTGTAACGTAAATTTACAAGCAATGGAAACATATCGCTGCCTTTAATAATGCACATACAGTCATCGTAAGTAATGTATACAAAAGAATCAGCTTCGGAATGTCGTGGTGGACTATACGCTTTGATGCTCAATGCTGGATTTTCATGATAACTGCAAGGTAATATAATTTAATAAAAATTCCATATAAATATAAATGGGCATATTATGTTTGTACATACATTCTACTTACCTTTGCGAAAATATTTTAATGCCTGCATCTGTGTAAAATAACACTTTGCCAGTATTAAGACCGATTGCAATGCAAGTCCATTCGGCGCCTGCGCTAACACTTTTGCCATATATAGGTAAACAAAGTAGGGCCGTGATAATTTGATTTGGATCATCAAGTTCACCACACCAACTTAGTACATAAGTGCTAACTTGAGATTTATTATCCCATTGGGATGAGAGTAGTGCCAGCTTTTCGCCCTGACCAAAAGCGATGAGCTCACCCGTTGGTGATATTGCATAGTTTACAGCATTTAACCAATTCTCATCTGGGAAGTGTGCATTTAGTAGGCATAAACATTAAAATTGAAAATTTTGAGATTCGATTATTCACTTACCATGACCTAAACCAAAAAATTCTTGCACTTTGCGAAAATCACGAATTTGTCCATAAGATTTTACTTCGCAAGACATTTTTGGAATTCCACAGCATTAAATTTATATTTAAAAATAGCAATTTAGTTTCTCAGTCGGGAACAGCAATTCACGAAGCACCTTGCTAAGGTCCAGCTCCTTTGGGACTTGCCGTATGTAAATGAAGTTTATTTTATTATGCTTCCTGGAAAATGTTCACGTATTTTTGAATTGAGTGCTCCAGATTGTTTATTAACAAATTTGCAAGCAAAGAAAGTTAAAAATTCACCAATTTGTGGCACAAATGACGTAGAGCTGGTATACTATCGATAGCATCGATAGTTGAAAACTGTCGCCTATATCGATAGTTTTTGAAAACTATCGATGTCGGTTTTAGCGAAACTTTACATCTCTTAACATGACATTATTATTTTTTTTATCCAAGAAAATTAACAATACAGTCGGCAAAAAAAATTTGTGGTTGTTGGAATTTTTAGCAACTATAAGCTTACACTGAGTTATAGTAAAATTTAATAAAATATAAAACCGCTTACACAAAATTTGTATAGAAATTCGTATTAAAAGGTTGAAATTTTTATGATTTTGCAGTTTTTTATGTTTTGTACAACTTTTATAAAAAATTAGTAGACACTAAACAAACAAACAAAAAAAATTGTCAAAACTGCTAAAAATGTTGTGGTGCTATTATTTTGACCAGTACTTTATTCGTTTTCTTATAATATGGTAAAATGTTAATAAATTCCTTTGTCCGGTTTTTGATATGCGCCTCCGTATTTGATCTCAGTTGCACTTTTATAAGTATGAGTTGTCAATTTAAACGAATATCTTTTGTTTTGTTTGTTTTGTAGTATTAAAAATGTATTTTTATAGCCAATTTCTCTGCTTTGCACGACAAAAGGGGCAAACAAAATCCGAATTTAATTTTTCCATATAAAAAATAAATTCAGATTTTGCCTGTCGCTATTCAGGTGGATGCATGTGTATGTATATAAGTATATATAATGCAGACGCATAAATTAATAAGTTTATTTTATTATTATAAGAAGTTCTTTTTGATGTACCCAAATTTAAACAACTTTATATAATTTCTTTGATTCACAAAGTATTTTATAAATTTTATGAATTTAATATTTAATTTTCAAGCAATTTAGCATTTCAATTCAATACCTCTCACGACGATAGTACTATCGATACTATCAATGTTTTCAACTATCGTTTTGAAAACTATCGAGTGGCGGTACTATCGATAGTATCCCTGGTCTAAAATGACGTATAGTTTCGTTTCTTTTTCTTTGTTTTGTATACACAGCTGATTGGTTTTGACAGCTTTGTTACACAGGGTAACACAAAGATTTTAGTACATGATGAGGATAAAAAATCTTTTATTTTAAAATTTTCCCATAAATTTACTTCCGTTATTCTAGGTCAGAGGTTTTCAAACTTATTATAGACGTTGGCCACCGTTTGTGATTCCACACTACTAGAAAACATTCTGGACTCTTCTCTCTCCACGGAGACTGAGCCGTCGGCTCAAAAGGTTGCATTTACGAAGGACAGAGAAAGGGGAAGAATGCAATCCCTTGTTGCGAAAATGGTAGTAGAAAAGTACGCAAAGTAGGCAATTAGTGGTGAAATTCCTTTTGTAAATTCTAAAATATTTGCAGGAAATCTGGCATTTTAGACGAAATCTTAATATATCTACGTGAATTACGTAATTTATGTGCTATTTAGCTGTATAAAAACTGCAAAGGACTAAAAATTAAAATAAAATTACTATGAGATTTATGTAATCATCCAATTTAAAAACAATTTATGTTTTCATCAGTTAAAGGTGCTTCATAAGCATATACAAATAAACATATTGGACAAAAGCTTATACTTCTATTTCACAGCAAAGCTACACTTTTTTCAAGTAAATTTGCAAAGATGCGACACGGTGCCATCGCTAAGGGAGCGGTGCGAGAGAGACAACTGTCAGTTTATCGAACCTTGTATTATCGAATCATGATTCAAGCCAAGAAGGATGAAGCCCGGAGTTCTACAGGGTGGTGTTCTATCATTGTAATTGTTTAATTTCGAACCTTCCTCAACCACCGGAAGGAGTTTCCCTGATCTCATGTGTTGTTGATATTGGCGTCCGGCATAGAGTCCGACCGATTAATCGGCATCGGCATCTCGTTGCTGTAAGTATTGTTACGATTATCCTTGAATTAATCGCTGAATTCCTAAATCCTTCGGGTTCTTTTCACTGGCTTGTTAAATTTTTTACGTTACAAAAATTGTATTCAATACAACACCTTAATAGTTAGCAGAAGCTGCATATTTTTACTACTGCGAGTACAACAAAGAAATGAACTATTTTTTTAACATTGAATAAGAAAAAGACTATGGAACAAAGTATTGCAATGATACGTATGTATGCATAAGCGATATACCACTTTCAATACATATTTACGTATGTACATAGATAAGTCAATAGATTCTTGAATGATTATTTGATTTGTAATGTTATTTGTTTATGTTCTTCTATTGTTATTAGAAAAGTATATAAAAACATTTGTTCTTGAATGAATTTATATTCAGGTAGTTTTTTTACGAAATCGGCATCGGCATCGGACAGAAATTGGGAATCGGCCGGACTCTAGTCCGGCAATAGAAATGATTACCTGTGTATGAAGGTATTTAAACGGTTTTTTCTCCGAACTTTCTCGCTTGGGTCTTCACGGAGCCTAATTTTCAACCCTCAACCCCAACGAAATCAACGGCGATCCTCTTCACCACCTGGACGAAGAAGACAGTTCAGAAAGCATCTTCTCCAATATATGGACATGGTTTACAACCACATCAAACCACCTTTGGACTCAACGACGTACCGACGAGAGATCAACGGCATTCATAGAGAGTCGGTCACCATTTTCCACGATTCTCGACTTATGAATGCCGTGATCGCAACCCAATCTCCACCCATACTCGACCAGCCCTACGATCTCTAAAATGTTCATGATCAGTGTAACACCGTTTAATTACCCATAGCCGTCATCGATTCGCCACTTCTTCCGGTCACTCAACGAAAAATTTTGCATGTGAAAGCAACAATAAAGTTAGCTAGCAAGGATGGACAATAGCGAGTTTGGTTGTACCTCATTGAGTTCGTTCGTTTCGCCACTCGCTAACTGTTGGCGAATCGATGATGGCTATTAGCAAATAAACAGTAAAAATAAAATAATTTAGGAATTTCGTGAATTAGTTACATTCTCCGAGACTTTAAAGAAAATCTATGGTCGCATTTATAAGAAATTGTATTTCAAACTTCAATTCCGATTTTCCAAGACCTGCCGAAAGTAACTTTGGCAATCATTTACCCACGTATGTATGTACGTACTTTTATACAAAGAAATGTTGATCTACATCAGTTGTATTTTTTTTATGATCAATTTTTTTCTAATACATTTTTTCATCTATGTATAAAACACAACGTTTAATTTACATATTTTTATTAACAAAATACTTTTTTTTTTTGGAAACTCTTACAACAAACAACCGCAACTACTAAATATAATATAAAATCAAGTAAAAAAACGTCCTTTACAAATTTATTTGTTCTCGCAGCAACGCCTACACTCACAGATCCGACTCTACCCCGCTGTCTATATAATCCTTCAACAAGAGACCGCAACGTAACGGCAGTAGGCGACACCAATTGTTGATATGCAGAAGACTAGTTGGTATTGTGGTTTCATTGACATTAGAGCGATGCGCCTCAACTATATGCTTGGCCACCTCCTTGGGATCTAGAAGACCAAGCATTGAGGGAAATTTGACTTTCGGACGTTTACAAAGGCCAGTGTTGGTCATATAGGGATAAACAACGGTGAGTTTTATCTAAAATGAAAGAGGTATACATTGAAATATCTTCGCTCTTTTTCGTGAGATTCAAAATTTTTATAAAAAAAATTTACAAAATCTTTGTAGGGTCCATCGCGTATCTCCTCATGCAGCGCCTCCATCATGCCACGTACCGCATACTTTGTAGCACAGTATGGCACCAAATTGGTCAGTCCGACAATGCCAGCAATCGAGGAAATGCAGATAATATGGCCACGTCCCTGTTGCTTCATTTGCGGCAGAAATGCTTCGAGTGTCCAGAAATGTGATAATACATTTATATCGAAAACGCGCTTTATCTCCTCGGCTGTATGTTGTTCCAACGGATGTGTTGGCATAATACCGACATTGTTCACCAACACCGAAACACGTCCCACTTCGGCTTCTACTTTGGCGGCTAGCTTCAGAACGGCTTCGCGATCGGAAACATCACAGCTGCAGGAAGAAAAAAAAAACAAGAAAAGGGTTTAATGAACGTCTGAAGATAGGCACTTTTATCAGTAAAAAAAATAAAATAAATAATTTAAAATTTTAAAAATAATATAAAAAAGCATACGTATACGCGTAGACGGAGTTCTGCATAAGTCGTTTAGCTTTCTTCAGTGTCTCTTCATTGTTCTTCTCATTTATGTCCACACACACTACTACACTACCCCAGGCGGTGTAATGCAAGGCCAATTCACGTCCAATACCATGTCCAGCGCCTGTTATCTGCGAAAGTATATTTGCAATATAATTGCAATAAAGTTTGCTGAACACCGTGAATATATGTATTTATATTTTTTACCAATATAATTTCACCGCTTATGTCTTTTAGTTTTTTGTTCATCATCTTTTCGAAAAGGCGTTGCAATAATTCTAAAAGTATTTTTACGAATACCACAAAGAATTCGCTTACGTCCTGAACAACGTCCATGATGCGTTTCGATACTTTGTTTGTGCTGGAAAATTAAAAAAAAAAAAAATTTTAGGAAATTAATAAGTGTATTTATTTCAAGTATTGGGTTTTTGAGCTAATCATACAGAATTATCCGTTATGCCATGTTCAAAATCGTGTCTTGTTTCCGGGGGAATGCCATTTAATATGCATATAAATTTTCTTCATTTTGAGAGTTAATCGAAAACTTAAATATTTTAAACTAGCAAATACCCGGCGTGTCTCATTGCGCCTTATTCCCTTCCAAAACTGTTATGGCCTCATTCATAAATAATAAAACAATATTTAAAGGGATAGGTTTTCATAAAAATTTTCGATTTATTAAGCCTTCTTTATTTCTTATGAATGTGGGTCTCAGTTAATATACTTTCGAAGGCATGTAGAAAGTAGGTAATGTACCGACTTTTTCCTGGAAATTTAATTTATAATCTAATAACTCGAGGCTACATATTGCGTCCTTTCTTCAAATATTTATTAATTTAATATTTACCTTATCTTATAGATTTAACTGAATTAAATTTTTCAAATAGGTTCCAACCCAATTGAAAAATATTGACGACAGTACAATTTCTTAAAACTATTTATTTTGATACCCGTATTGTAATATTTGATTTATTTTACCCATTTAATTGAATAAAATTATTCAAACATGTGGCAACCCTCCTCAAAAATGTTTTTGGCAGTAAAATTTCCAAAACCTCTTCAGTTTGATACCCATATTGCTAATAATCAATTTATCTCATCAATTAAATTGAATTAAAATTTTCAAACAGGTGGCAACTTTCCACAAAAATATTTTCGGCTGTAAGCCTTATTAAATCTCTTTCTTTTGCCAGCCATATTGCCATATTATCAAATTACGTAAACTGAAATTTTCAAGCAGTTGGCAACCCTCTAATTTTTTTCCTTTCTATATTTTAAGTTAGACCTCTATGTATTGCTAATACATCGGTGAAAACTGCATTCAATTCCATGCATTAGTTTTCGAGTGATGCGCGTACAAACATACAGACACACAAAATTTCTAAAAATTTTTGATTTGGCTTCTGTTGCTCTAATAAAGACCCGCATATTAATTTTTCTTCAATATCTATGTATAATGTACAGACATCGGCCTTACACATGCATAGATAGTTTTTAGCGATTCTAAATACCATAAAAATATTGACTTTTACCACCATTTAGGTATATTTTCCCCCTTTCCGTCAGTATCAAAAAGTTGCTTTGACCGAAAAGTGGAGTTAGCAGCTTTTACCGTGGCGGCGACGATATGTGCTGTTGCTAACACAGCAATAATTTTTATAACATTAATAAAATGACGTATAAAATTCCGCAGTTCAGTATATATTTTCCACATAGGAAACCTTCACAGTCTCTGTGCCAAGCTCCAAATTATGACAGCATAAAACATATTCCAGATGCGAGGTCTTCAGTATATGAGCAAATTCACGAGTTACTTTTTTTTTTGTGTCACTCCCTTCTCTCGCCTGAAACTGAACCACTGGAATTCCAGAAATAAGTACAATAAAAAATAAATCAAGTATTTGCACAATTTTAAAATAAAAAATATAAATTTCTTTTATTTATTTATTTATTTTTTTTATAACTTTGGGAAGTTTCTAAATAGAAGGTTCATAAATATTAGACGCAATAGAATTTGGCATCAAATACAATGATATCCGTGAAGTTTCAAGGGTGTGCCACCATACTAAAACCAAATGGCAGCATGCAGAATATTCTACGCAGCTATTTTGTAATTTTTGAAATTTAGCAATTTTTTCATTTTAAAATTTTGAGATAGTTCTAAATGGACACCCTAACAGTGAAAATGTTCTTGGCAAAACGAATAAATCTACAGTAATAAAACTTGTCTGCCACCGGAGGAGAAAAAAAAATATATTGATTATAAAATCGCGATGATTTGCGGATGATAAGAGAAAGTGAAGCTAAATTGGTTTTGAAAAAGGGTTAGGAAAAGTTATGTGCTATGAAAAATTAAGTTATTTATTATTTAAATTATTCCTTAAAAACATTTTTGGCCAACTAGATTAGTACCGAGAAACCGATTTGCTTTAAATAAATTTTTAAATTTTGCTAATCAAAACACCTACATTACTTCAAGGTATGCAAAAAGGAAAAAACGCAAAAATTTTGTGAATAGAAATATGCAAGGCGAGTTCATATACATAAGTTAAAAGTGGTAGTACAAAAACAAAAACTAAAATGTATTTTCTTTTCGCTTTCGGTACACAAATGTCAAATTTCAGCTATTCTTCGCTCAAGGCGGAAGCGGAAAAGAAAATGCCAACGCTCTTACTTTCGCTCTAACTCATAAGGAGTTTTGACATATGTGTACCGAGGCGAATTAAAGCAGCTGTTCTAACAACACCACCTTATATGAATTCGCCTTGTGATTATGGTTTTGTTTTTCTATATCACAGTACGCCAAGAAATCAAATTATAGAAAAAAAAATACAGTTTAAAGCAAATTTCTTGCAGCCAATTTTACGAAAGCAATTTAAGTGAATAATGATTTTAATTTTTTTAATGTTATATAGAAATTGACAGAAAATAATAAATAATTTTCCATTTAAATTGCTGGTGAAGCCGGCTGTTAGTATTATTATTATTTTTTTTTGAAAACCTAAGAAAGTATTTCTCAAAGAAATTTTACTATGCACAGTAAATCGTTCTTAAAACAGTAAAGATTTTTAATATGGCTCAAGGCACATCCAACAGGTACTAGAATTAGAACAAAAACAGCATTTGCGTATATTTTTTTTTTGTTTCTTCTGGTGTCAAAAAATAGTCTACATTTTCAAAAAAAAATAGTGGGCGATGTGAAATATAGATACGGTGACCATTCGTACCGATTTTGGAGGGACAGTACCGATTTTGAGAAAATTGTCCCGCTGAATATTTTTTAAAAGTCAGGACGTATAAGTGTCCGCATTTTTCATATTTGTACCGTTTAAGGCCCGATTTTCAGTGTTTTCTTTATTAATTTAATACGAGTTTCCCTGTACTCTCGCCCAAAAACAATTTTTCAAACGTGACAGCACTTTCATTATCACAAAGGACATAGAATATAAGGGAGCCATAAACATAGCCAGCATCCGTATTTTATACTATCTTTAGCTATGTTTTATTTTGTCAACCTGGTACTCTCGATATATTGCAGTCTATCATTCTTCGCTAAATTTTTTTTAAGTTTTTTTAACCGACTTCAAAAAAAGGTGGTTATCAATTCAACGGAATATATTTTTTTTTATATATGTTACCACATATTTTTGGACCACGTTAACCGATTTCTATAAGGAAAGGTGGTGCCACACTAATTTGGTTTAGGTCCGATCATTGGATCGCTAAGAAATTAACGGTACTCTTAAATTTTTATATGAGAAATTAAGTCGGTTTTGTTTTTTGCTTAAAAATGACTTGTATAATTATTTGTTAAGTTTTTCTTTTTTATTTTTTTTTAATGTAACGATTCTAACTTGAATTTAGTGAAATTATAATAATAATTATAAAAAAATAATACTAATTCCCTCAAAAAAAAACTAAGGTGTAGATACAGTGACGAAAACATTAATAGGGAAGAGACATTTTAGCATTCTTTGGCGGTTAATTTTTGGTAAATTTTTTTGAAGAACGTGTTGCTGATTTTCTCTGTAGAAAAACGTTGAATTTTTATAAATGTTCTACAAAGTTTGAAATTTTGATTTAGATACATGTTTTTTTAGATAGTCGGTTATATTTTCATAAAAAAAATAATAAACATTTTATAAACAAAGAAAAGTAGCTAAAATTTGCTTCCCTATTTACATTCTCGCCACCGCGCCATTGCGTACATTATTGCGATCATTTTGCAAGTTGCTCTCTTTGTTTTGTTTTAAATAAAACTGTATTAAAAGATGTTATATCTTTTTATTCTAAACACAAAGTTTTAGGTTCGTATTCGATGCTTTAGAAATATGTCCCGATTTTTTTCCACAGAAATCTGGTCACCGTAAATATAGATAAATTTGTTTCATTCCAGAAGCATCAATTCATCCTTTGCCGAACCCAACAATCCACGTTTAAGCTCCTGAGTTAAGCAAGCATTCCAAAGGCTGGTTTTTAATGGTTTTTTTTTTTTAAGATTCGCAGGCAAATACATTTTGTCAATTAAGAATTGGTATGACAATTTATTTTTATAAGTACCGGCCAGAATTTTGTTATGGTTAAAGAAAAAGGCTAACCTTCTCACACCACTAACTAACTTAAAAAGTCTAACAAAACAATTCAAACGCGAGCAACGAAAATCTAAGTCCAAAACAAATAAATATTATGGCTAAGAAAACTAAGCAAATATTTATTAGTGGTTGATTGCCGGTAATTGACAGAAAGCCGGCCGGCTACGCTGCTGCCAGTCATCCCACTCTTGGCCGCATTAAAAGCGTGCATTCACAGCCTATCTCTCTCTACGGCTACTCACTTTACAAATCTGACACTTACCCGTATTGGCGCAACAAGTGGGCGGCAAAAATGTTTACGAAACGTAAACAAATGCACACGCAACGTCATGATAATGGTGAGCAGAGTGCAGATGTGAAATGACAACATTGGCACATTGACACACACACACACAAACAGACATACAGACATACCGCAGTGATGTTGCAACAAGTGCAATTTGCTTTTAATTGTTTTTAATGGTTTTTATGGTTTAAATATGCATTCGCATCGGCAATTGCAACCGCGTTTATGTATAAAATAGTATTTCTGTATTGGTTTGAAATGTAATTAACCTTATAGAAGATGATAACATTTTGCAACAATTAACCTTTTTAATGGACTGACAAAGTGTATTTAATCGTTCTTCTTTTACATAATATGTAAATGCATTTGCCTGCACGCATGCGCATACATACATAATTCGTCATTTAATTTTAATGAGCAAATTTGTATGCAACACTTGCGGAAAATGTGAATTACGAAATGCCATGCAGTGAATAGGTAGTGGCGTGGAAATCGAAAGTGTGTTAAGTACTTAGCTAAGTTTTAAGATAATACCTATGCACTCTCAAGTTCAAACTGCAATATAGGACAAATTTGTTATTAAGTGTATTTACACGTACGCGGCTGCTTGGTTTATTTAGATTTTTATGAGTGGGTAGGTAGTTACTTAGCGCCAATGTACAGCGTAATAAATTCAGCACGAGCGTGCTAGTAATTTCAATTAGCAGAAGCGGGCATAGAAAAGTGAATGCTTATTGATTTACCGGTAAAAATAGTCATTCATATGAGTTGTGCGTAGTCGGGGGGTTCGATCGTAAATGATTTAGTGGAAATATACTACATAAAATTGCCAAACGATTTACGAGTTAGCCAGCATAGTTAGATAATACTATTTTAATATGGAAATTTAAATTAATTGGTTTGAGCGTATAAAATACTACATGTATATATATATATAAATTTTACATCGCTAACAATATTTTGTTAATTTTATTTTAATTTTGTTGAATGAGCAACGCAAACTGAGCCATATTTGTTATCATTGTATAAAAGGACGCACTTAGGGCTTTGCTTAGAACTGTCTTTGAAAAGTCGCGACTCATTTGGATGGTATGCCCAAAGACACATTTCCAGAAAATACGTTTAAGACGCAGTGAAGGATGCCAGGTATTTGCTAGTTTATTATAAAAATATAATTTGACAGTTAAAATTAAATTTTTTTGCAGAAAACGAAGCCTAGAAATATGTACCACTTAACTATAAGTAAATTAAATAAATTTATATAAATTTTAGGCTTCGTTTTCTGCATATCATCCGCAGTCTAGTAATCAGGGACAGAGAACAAAAGGTATGATCGAACGCTTCAAAACCAAAACCGAAATGAGAACAAAACTGTCAAGAACGTTATCAACGAGAATTATATATTTAAGAACAAAACACTGTGAAACGTTCCAAAAGAAAATAAAATGCGAGCAATATTTTCGGGAATATTTCTAAGAGAACAAAATGGATAACCGGAACGTTCTGGCAAAGAAGAAAACGAAAAAAAAAAACGTCTAAGGAACTTTCTCTCGAAGAACCATTTGGGAACTAAAGTCTCAGGGACTTTCTGACAGGGAACGAATCGGGAACAAATATTCTCTGAACTTTTCGCGAAGAATGGAAACGAGAACTAAATTTTTCTCATAGCGTTCAAATAGTTTAAAATGTTTGAATATTAAAATTAATCAAAAACGAATTGGAAGGTAATTATGCTAATAAAGTAAACGAAAGACTTAAGACACGAACTCTCCTTGCATATAAAATTAAATTGCTCTACCGTTGGACAGTTCACCGTAATGACAAACGATCTGGCAGTTGATATGATCCAGCTTTACACTGGCTTAGAATTAACAATCGTGGTTCTCACTGAAACCTCTCATTCTTAACGTTAAGTTCTTAAAACGTTTGTTCTCGTTTTGTTCACTATCAGAACGCTCCCAAGACGTTTGTTCTTATTTGATCCCAATAAAAAACGTTCTCGATACTTTCGTTCTTATTTTGTTCTCATTGTAAACGCTTCCGAAAGTTTCGTTCTCATTCTGTTGTTCTTGAGAACGTTTCCGAGAGTTTTGCTCGGATTTTGTTCTTTACGGAAACGTTGCCGAATCTTTTGTTCTCAATACTTATATGCTCCCGTTTGGCTCTTTCGTGGTAACGTTCTTATAATTACATTTTGCTCTCGTGCAGAACTAAATCAAAACTGGAACGCCTTCTCGGCTCCTGAATCTAATTGTTATATTCGGATTTGTGTTTTTTCGATCATATTATAACCGTTTTTTTCAGGCGGCCTCCATTATAACAGTTAAACATGAAAATAGCGATTAAATTTATCGAAAAACCAAAGTAAAAATTTAACGATTATTTTTTATCGAAACCAATTCAAGAAATTACGATTTGCAATGATCGATAAATTAAAATCTTTTAACCCAAATTTATAAAAATAAAGAAGACTTTAAATGCTTTGTAAATCGAAAATGAGTATGAAAATGTCACTTTATAAAGCTTTTCAAAGCTACTTTAATTTTTATGAATTATTTATGCTATTGGTATTTAACAGTTATTTCCGGTCCCTGGCGAAAAGACTTAGGTATATGCCTTTAAGCACCGAAATTATTGTAACCATATAGTGAGAAAATCTAAAAATTAGTGAATATCCTAAATAAATATAATTAAATTTATGGTAATAAAGATTCATAAGTGGGTCGTATCTATAAAAAAATGTAATCTAACACACTTATTTGCTCCACTTTTTAATTTCATTTTATCAAATATATATAGCACATTAAACATTAGGGTGGTCTTTAAAAATATTAACATCTAAATTTTGTGTGCGAATGCATTGCAAATAGTCAAACAATTTCAAACCCTAAATGAAGGCACCGTCAATCAAGTGTGGACAGGACATTGGACTTGGCCCATCTTTAATGTTTACTTTTACTTTTTTTTTGTGGCAGGCTGCGCGAGGTTTGCCAGACATTTGTTGACATTTTCTCTCAAAGTCGCGAAATTTCTTTTTGTCTGCTATCCGGCGTTGGAAAAATGTCTGCAATCCTATTAACTTTACGCGATGTGATGCTCCAAAGGCTTTAGATTGAATCCAGATTGTCAAGCAATCTTTTTCTATACCCCCTTTGTAGTTTTCCAAAAAAGTTTTGGTCGCTAGTTACAAAATGGCGTTGCAAGTAATATTTCACCAATCGTTTAATAATTACAAAGCACAACATACCCTGCGCTTTGCATTCAGAATTTTTGCAAAAAAAAACTCGCGCTTCCACATTTTAATGGACACCAGGTGTTTTGTTTTCAATAAATTTCGGGTTCACTTTCACTATATACGAATATTAAATCAATTTAAAATATAAATTTTTTTCAGTGCTGTAATTTTTTTTATTATTTTTTCATTCTATATTTGTTTGTGAAACATATGAAACTCAATCACTTCCAAATGAATTGTTTTTATGTGCCAGGGCATACGGGAGGGCCATGAACCAACTACAAGATCATGCAATCGGAAAAGAATGAAAAACGTAAATTTCTGAGCGTTTTTGACATTTGCCTAAGAATGAAAACAAACAAAGAAAACGAAAAAGGCGGTGATCGAGTGAGATTATATTGGTATTTATTATAAAATACACGAAATGAAACTTGATGACAATTAGCAAAAAAAGTTCATAAAATGTGGTTTCCATGATTGAAAGTGTTTTATTTATAACCGCATATCATCAGCACGGGTCGATTTTTCAATGCCAACGTTCTGACCACAAATGTCCACCCACTTTTCACGCAAATTTCGGCCTTTTGGCAGACCAAATAAACGCACAAACTTGTTCCAATCACAAAGCACTTAATTTTATATCATAAATTTGTAATAAATCAAAATTAAAATTAAAATCGCTTATAAAAAACATCAAATTGCTAAAAAAGCCACTCCGAAGCGATAGAAGACGATGAAAATGCTACGACAACTTTTGTTCTGAAATTCGATTACAACTACAACGATGACTGATCGCGTGATATGGAGTCGTTGGTTCATGCGGGAGGGCGATCAATTTTTTATTTTTTTTTTTGTTATATTTAAAGTGTAACTTTGTATATGTGCCTATACTTCAGGGCAAAACAAAAACAAATGTGCTTATGGAGTGAGCAGCTCTCGCCGAGTTATAGCTGGTAAAAGATGAAAATTGGTAGAATTTTTGGCATCGGTAAAAAAATTGAACTTTTCAAATCCTGGTAGAGAAAATTATTATTTTTTTTTAATTTTAAAATTTTCGCGGATGCTCATGATGTTGATATTTTATAGACCACCCTAATATGTATACATACATATACATCCATAATTGCACTTATAGCTACGGTGACCATCCGTCCTGTATTATACGGGACAGTCCTCTTTTTTGACCCATTGTCCTCGTAATTTATTTATTTTATACGGGACGCCAAATGTTCTGTATTTCTTTTAATGTCCTGTATATGCACCGTATTCGGTGTTTCGACGCCTTAAGAGCTCATTAAAATGGCATGCCTATGAACGAGTTTTAAGTGATGTTGGTATGTGATCGTAATTTTCTCCATAAACAGTTATTATTACAGAAATTAGGACTCGACATTTTAGTTAGTTTTGGCTATTTTTTCTTCGTTTATTTAATGTTTTTGTTATTTATTTTATGAAATTAAAGCACTTTCCTAACAAAAGTCATATAACACCAAATTTCCAACTTTGTGCAAAAAACTATAAAAATTAATTCTGCAATATTTCAACAAAATTTCAAACTTTTTAATCTTTAGAATCTTTAGAAAAAACTTATTAAGATTGAGTATAATAAAATGCGAGTGGAAAGTGCTGCTCATTTGCTTCTCTTTCAAAAAAATGGTCTAACATACTTACTTTGCATGAAAAAAATGCGTAACACCGTAAAGAAAAAAATAAAAAATGCAAAAAATTTGTGGTAAGCCTTAGCAACTTAAAATTGCACTTTATTATACTAAAATTTAACGATTTTTTTTTTAATTTTTACGGGTAAAAATCTCGAGAAAATTATCCTACAAATTTGTGATGTTACTAAAAGGATACTGTTTCAGGGCTAATACATCGAGGATCATTGAAGAAGGCTTTAAGATCTGTAAGCTGTTGTGGAAAAAATTTGCAAAATTATTTTTTGTCCCATATTCGGCTCTCATAAATATGGTCACCGCACATACTATGTATACTCGTAATATTAAGCATTGAAATGGCGTTTATATACTTACTGTATGACTTCACGCTCAATCATCTTGCGTTCCGATAGCTGTGTGCCACTGTTTATTTAATTTATTTCTTTTTCGAAGTTTTACACCAAAATGATTGATTAATATTGATTTACATATAAATATGTTGATTACGAATATACTGTAAAACGTGGTCAGCAGCGGAGGTGCGCATTCACACGTGATTAACTTTTATATGGTTTCGTCTACCGGTGGTCTAACTATACGAAACAACACATATATACATACATACATATGTACGCATAATATATATGGACTGCATATGCCTATATACAAATAGATATATTTATTATTTTTATATTTTCCTGCCGGCATATGTCGGCTTTTATCCGCAAAAGCGCGTTCACTTTCGTTTGCACAAGCAGACAGAGAACCATTTGCGCGAATGCAATGCAATGCAATGCACAAAAACGGGTCGATAAGACCAAGTCAGAGCAATTATTGCAAGTGGTTATTGCAAAATGCGGCGGTGCTACTAACACGATTATGCTCTAGCAGTGCAGGAAAGACTGAGTAGATACATACATACATACATATGTAGTATATCGTTACCTAAAGGAGAAAAGGTGCTAAGTCCGTTTTTTTTTTAAATTGTTCAGGACAGACAAAAAACCTTCTTATCTGTAATTATCTGTCATTATGCATGCTTGAAAAATTCAAAATTGGATAAAAGGCGACTTAGCACCTTTTTACTTTTAGGTAGCGATATGCATCTACATATGAGTGCAGTTATAAAAACAAAAAAAACAAAAAATTAACGCAATTTGCTATTAGTTCGACTATGGTTTGCGCAAATCAGCACTATTTTGGTGCATCCGATTTTAGACGTTTTTGAAAAAAGGGGAAACGGGTGTGAGTAAGCGAATAAGTAGTGGCTAGACGAACCAAAACTTGTCCAAACACTATCCGGGCAATGCAGCATTCACTTCACCACTGGCTTCTATGTTGTCGTCGTAGAGTGGCGAATAACGTTTCTGCCGGTGGTGTTGATGCAACAACTGGTTTTGCCGACGTGATAATTGTGTATGCATGTTGTAAGTAAATAAACGTTGCGGCGGCCACTGTGCACCATTGCGACACTTTAATTATTCGTTCTTTTTTGTACTAAGTATATTTACGTGCGAGGCGAGCACATCGAGGGAGCTGAAAGAAAACTTCCTATAGATTTGAAATTAAACTTTGTATTTTTCGTTTCGTATTCGTGTTTGGTTTTAACAAAAAATGTGATTTGTGGATGTCGCAGACGTTGACTTTCGGGTATAAGTACCTTAAGGCCTAAAAAACTCCTTTTCAACACATACATACCTACTTTCTTATGTTTGTTTGTAGGTTCGTACCTAAAAAATATTGACGAATTAAAATGAGAAAATTTGAACAATAGTTCTGAACGCTGATACGATCCGCATTTAGAGTTGCTGCAAAGCATGTCACCCCAAGCCGGTTTGCTCATGAAAGAAGAGGTGGGAAGGAAAAGTGGAAATGTTGAAAACTTTTTTCCAAAGCCATGGGGAAATATGGTCGAAATCACGTTTTCATAAGCAAATAAATCGAAGTAAAAGTTTTAGGTTTTGGAACTACAGTGGGGAGCAGTGATGTGTATAAGGTGATTTTGGTTAAATATTTGCAAGGTTTTTAAAGTTAAAATTTATTTGTTATTTTTTTTAAATGGTTCATGCTTTAACCAAAACCATACATATAAATCAAACTTTAAAACTTTATACTTAGAAAAATTTAACAAATTTTCTTTAAAATTTTGAGCTTTTTAATCTGTTTTTTTAGAATTTTATTGGGTATCTATGCAGTTTTGTAAATTTCGATTTTATTCAATTTTCCTTGCAAACGGTCTTGCGAATTTTTTTCCATAAGAAATTCATGTATTGCAAAATTGCAAAAAAGTGCAAAAAGCCGAAAAAGAATTCTCAAAAAACAACGCGATTTTGCAGCAGCTTAAAACATGCACTTAATTATACTAAAACTATTAGATTTACAAAAGTGCATATTTAAAAAATTCTGAAAAATCAGATTAAAAAGCTCATATTTTTAATAAAAATTTGTTAAATTTTTCTGAGCTCTGTATAAAGTTTGAAGTTGAAGCTCAAAATTTTAATAAAAATTTGTTAAATTTTTCTAAGCTCTGTATAAAGTTTGAAAGTTTGATTTAGATGGTTTTGGTTAAAGCATGAACCATATTTTTACGAGAAAATCACAAAAAAAGTTTAACTCTAAAAACCAGGCAAATATTTAACAAAAATCACCATGCTCTCATCACTGTTCCCCACTGTATATCTTAGGTGAAGAATTTTTTGGTACAACGGCTTGCTTTAGTGCATATGACAACCCTAGTTGTCTTGGCCACTCTACGATAACACCGTGCGGTAAAAACAAAAAAAATTAAAAACTCACGAAACAATCAATGTACTACATACACTCGACACTATGGGCCAAATATAGTAAACCTACGTTTCTAAATTTTCACTCTGACATCAGGATGTTTTTGAAAATGACTTTGGCATTTTAAAAGTATGATTAACTCAAAAAATTATTAAAAAACAATAGGTGCAATGTAGTATAACAATATGGGTACCAAATGAAAGAAAAAACTCTGCAGAATTTAAAAACATTAAAGTTGTTTGGTTTACAAGGGCGATTTTTAATTTATTTTATTTTTTTAAGCAAAAAAAAGTTAGGAGGACGAAATTAGAGGATGTGAGGGCGTGTATATTAGTCCTTAACATAAATTTTTTCAAAAATAAATCTTGCAAAATTTCAAGGATATTCAAGGACAAAATATTAAAAGGACATTTTCCATAACCATTTGCCATTATGCACCAAAAAATTTAGTATTTTTTGATTCAACAGAATTTTTTCTTTTATTTGATACCCACATTGGTATTTACATTGCACCGGATTTTTAAAATAATTTTTTGAATTAATCATATATTTAAAAGTTCAAAGCCCCTTGAAAAAATTCCTAATGTCAGAGCGAAAAACTAAACACGCAATTTTACTATATTTTGAATATAGCTTCGTAAATTGATTGATTTTTGTGTGTGTAAAATTTACTGTCGTACGGTGTAATATTACACAGTTGTCTACCCTGCAGAAAAAATTATCAATTGATAAAAAATAACCAACTTGTAGTTAGCCATCTTGCGGGATTTCTATAAAATGTATAGCCTGTAGTAAACTACATAAAGCTAACTTGAAACTAACTGAAGGAGTAATGCAGGAGTAATCGGGGGATTGTTTTCTTTACACAAGTTTCTACATAGATATACTAATAAGAATTTTATTTTGAATCAATTTTCTTTCTGCACTTCACAAATACTTTTTCGAATTGAGGACAAATAAAAGGAATATCGAAATTTTATATTATCATTTTCAAGTTAAGTCTGACGCAGTTCGAATATGGGACCACCTAAAAAAGAATATGTAGGCAAATAAGTAATGCAATAAAATAAAGTAAATATATATATACAAGTAAAGAAACAAACAAAATGTATATTTTTTTTTCTTCTTGACATTTTATGTGCAAAAGTAGTTAGGTACAAGTTAGTAGACATAGTACATTATAATGCAGAGGTTCGTGACCTTGACTATTTCGTGGCCATCGCCATAGAAATATAGTTAGCTTTCCTCAAAGAAAATATACAGATAATAAAGACCTTTAGTTTCTTCCTAATCAACTTCAAGTTAACTTAAAGTTAGATAAATTTCCCGCAGGGTAGTGTGCGTACATACATATGTACATGTGAGGAATTCTGATAACTAACCATGACTTATATATTCATAAAATTCAAGAAACATTGAGATTGAAGAATAACTTTTAACACGGAGCAGCTGAAAAATTGAGCCAAGTTTAGTAATATTTTGTTTGAGGTATATTTTCATTGCAGCTGATACATACACAATCCAAATTTTCTTATTCAGCGCTCAAAGTACCTATGCGTTTTTCTAAATGTGTATTTATCAATATATCCGTTGAATTTTTTTTTCGAAAACTAGTACCTCAAAAATACAATGGTGACGGACGATCTCTGCTAAAATTTTTTTTATCACTTTTTAATTTCTGTAAGAGAGTCATTGGGGGTGTAGAGCAGGTCACCTCCGGGGCCGTAACAGTTACAACTTTTATTAAAAAAATCACTCTTTAACAATTACTTTTTGACTTTTATTTAATTACTCTTTAAATAACCGTTATTTCTGACTTTTATTTTATAAATCGAAAATAACAATTATTTATGATTTTTATTTAAATAATCTGCAAATAACAGTTATTTTTGATTTTTAAATTATGTGCCTTAAATAACAGTTATCGAAGACTTTTATTTATAAAAGTCATAAATAAAAATCAGTCACTGATCTTTACTTTTTCAATCATACTTATAAAAGTCATTTGAATAAGTCGTAGTAACCTTTTGTTTTCCAACACCTTCTTAACTGCGAAAAATGTTAATGACTTTTATACGATTGATTTAAAAAATAAAAGTCGGTCACTGATTTATATTAATGACTTTTAAAAGTAAAAGTCACTGACTGATTTTTATTAATGACTTTTATAAATAAAACTCTTCAATAACTGTTATCTAAGCCATATAATATAAAAATCAAAAATAATTGTTATTTTGGATTTATAATAAAAAATCAAATATAATTGTTATTTTTTTAAAAATTGCAAATAAAAATTTATTTTCAAAGTTGAGTCTCGGTGCAAAACGAAATCGATGGGTATGTTTCACTTAGTTGTAGAACATTTCCTTCATAGTGAATTTTTCCATGACAGTTTTCATCAATAACTGTTATGTTCGGTCCCTGGTATTTATGCCAATTTAAAGATAATTTAAATACCTTTTATATGCCTTATATACTATAACTATTTTTAAGGCAAATTTTAAATAAACGCAATTAAAAAAAAAAATAATGTCTTACGCCGTCTTCAGACTCAATCCGTAGAGCGATGTACGAGTATAATGTGATAGTACTCTCGCCGAACTATCGCCAGGATTTGAGCAGGCAGCCGGAATTGGAGCGCTAACAATGAGGAATGGAGTTAGTTCTTGCAAACATGAATTATTAAACATTTTCAACTGGAATTTAAATATCTCCGAACAACCAAAATTAGAAAAGAGGGTGGCGATACTTTCGACAACACTTCTTCTAAAGCCAATAGCCACTACATATTTCTCGTTTTTTTTTTTTTATATATTGCAGCATTCGATAAAATTTCAGGTTGTTTAATAAAATTTCAGGTTGTTTAATAAAATTTCAGATTGTCCATTTGTCAACACGCTTTCATGAGGCAAACTCGCCGGCCGTCTATTGCTCTCTATTACAAAATAGCACACACAGGCCACATTTTGTGTGTACGAAAATACCTGCATAATGTGCCAGACATTAACAGCAGCACAACCCACCGCCACAACGCTTGCTCGCTTAACTAAGTTATCGCAGCAGCAACAACACACACACGTTCGCTACAACTGAAAAATGCCTTAACGTACATACAAAACAAAAGCTTTGTTGAAATGCGGAAGTGGAAGTGCCGATTTTGCGGATGGTGGACGGACGTAGTAGTTGTTGCTGCTGCAAATGTGGACCTTTTACTGGTTTCCCCAGTGGGTAACAAAACCGCAAGCAGACAGTGAGGCAGACAGACACGGTTAGACGAAATGCATGATCGATATTCGTGGATGTGCAATTTTACATACATATGTTTGTATGTATGTATGTATGTATGTACATATGTTTCTTTGTTTTCGTTTTAGTATAAATTAAAAACAAAATACGTTGAATTTTAATTTCGTATTTGCGCCACTCATTTTTTTTTTGTTATTGCTTCTGCCTCTCCTTTTTTCGAATATATGTATGTGCCGCGCATTCGCAAAGAATGTAATAAATCACTGCAGTGGTTTTAGTTGTATTTTGCGCATTAAATTTTTGTTCAAAGTTTGTAGGCAAAAAAACCTCCTCACTTTTTGACTCACTTATGTAAATTCTGAAGTTCTGCACACAAAGTCTGTGATGACTCGTTTTTGAGGAAGAATACTTATGTATATGTATGTATGTATGTATGCATACTTATTTGTTTAATGGCGCGATAACTGACACTAACACGTTTATTTTGTATGACTTCCAACTGAACTTGCATCGCCCGCCGTTCGATGCAAACTGTTTTGAGCTGCGCTGGTGCCCGCTGGTTTAACTGCAGATTGCGACGACTGGCTTTTGGCAAGCATTGTTTAGAGCAAGCTTTTCGTGCAATATTTTTTTTATTTTTATTTTTTTATTTTAATATCTTTTTCTCTTGCGCTGCTTCTTCCTTGTAGCGAGATAAAAAAGCTGTTGGTTGCAAGCTCAAAGGCGGTGGTAAGTGAAGCAAGAAAACGTGCTGTCACCAAATCACCAAAAACAACTTGCCACTTACAATAGGTTGCAAAATGTTAATAGCCAAACATAATTTTAGCGTAGTCATTTAGTTTTATTTTTAATAGCACTTTAAAACTGAGGTTGACTTCAGGGTTACCCTTAAACCCGCGATGCTAATCATATTCTCAATTTGATAACTGTGATGGATGTTATATTGGTACACCCTAATGTTTATGCACATAGGCGCATTTCGATGGCAAAGCTCTCTCTAAAGGATTATCAATTTAAATTGGCGACAAGATAAAGCTTGCATTTCGTCTCTTCCGATAGACTAATTCCGAGTAGGTATACGAGAATGCATTCGGTAATTATCAATTGAATACGCAGAGAATAGTTTGTGTTCTGTTTAGATGATTCATTCTCTTTCTAGCTAAATGATATACCAAGGGCCGGCCCTTGTAAGGTCCTCAGTACCCACTTACTGCGTCCGGAGTTTACGCACTCAGAAGTTATACAGTTAGTTAGAGTCAAAAGTTAGCATACACCTTTTTTATACAAATATGCATAGTTCATTCTACAACAAAAACCATATAAATCGAAGTTTCACACTTTGTATAAAATTCACGAAAATTTAAAACTTTTTATTCAGAATCTTTCATTTCAATTTTAGACCAATAAAACGGGAAATGTCAAATCGCTAAAAATTATCGTTGATTTTTTAGAATATCTTTTGTGTAGGGTTTTGCGCATTTTCCTCCATATAAAAAGATTTTGATCATACTTACTGCATACTCGCAAAATTTTCTAAAAATTCTTAATAAAAAGTTCTCAATTTTGATGAGTATTTTTTTTAAGTTTAGTGAATTTTATATAAATAGTGAAACTTTGATTTGTGTGGTTTATGGTATAGGATGAACTATATTTTCATAAAAAATTTATGTACATATTTTTTCATTAAAATAATTGTGCATATTATATTATAACAATGTATATACTAACTTTTGACTCTGACTTTAAGTCTCGAAAAAGGTCTCGCCTGTTCGCCCGATACGTTGTTCACGGTGTAACACTGATTATGAACTTTTTAAGTGACCTAATACAGGTCATAGGGCTGGTCAAGTAATTCACGAAACTGCGTTTAAAATTTTTCTAACGCCCTCAAATTCTGGACTTATTCTTCAAAAACCATTTTTACAAGATTTCCCGCACTAAACAATTCTCAGCTCGGTTATTTGTCACCCAAATTTCAGTTTTTATATGGTTTAGGAAAGAAGAATATTTGTACTATTTAAGGAAATAATAAGTTTTGTGAACACATTGTAAATATGTCTAAAATTTTTGAAGTAATTCTGAAATTTACACCAATTTTTATATATTTTTTTTTCAAAAAAAGATCTTTTAGTCATGATTTCGAAAAAAATGCTTAATTCCGAGTAAAACTAGGTACTATTTATAAAAATCAATAGACATTTTGGGCAGATATGAATTTTGTAATGATTTTTCCAAAATTACTTCGATGTAATTTCACCGAAAATTTGAATCAGTTAAATCGGATTCACTTTGAGGTTTTAATAGTTCGACTACCTAGAGAATTTTGAATTTGTCTCTTTATACAAGATGTCATAACTTCATAATTTTTTGTATTGATTTTAATGAATGGTACCTAGTTTAACTCGTAATTAAACATTCTTTCCGAAGTATTGACTAAAATAGACTATTTTCTTGTGAAATTTTGGCAAAAAATGTGGTAGAAGGGGGAAAAAATAAAGTTTGGTCTAAATTTCAGATTTATTCCACAAATTTTTCACATATTACAATGTGCTCACACAACTTATTATTTCTTTAGATAGTACAAATATTCTTCTTTCTAAGGCCATATAAAAATTTAAAATTGGTTTTTAAATAACTGCGCTAAAAATTGTTTAGTGCCGGAAGTCATATGAAAATGATTTTTTAAGAATAAGTGGAGCATTTGAGGATGTTGGAAAAATTTTGACAACAGTTTCGTTAATTACTCGGTCAGCTCGACGACCTGTACTAGGTGGATTAAAAAGTTCGTAAAATTTTTTTTTTTTTTTTTTTTTTTTTGTAACACCGTGGCCTGATATCCAGCGAAGTGTTAACTCATTCCTCGCTTTATAAAATTTTATTGGATAGCCGCTTTGTCATCCACGGTAACTAAGAAAACGATTTTGAAACCCTTTCCAAGGTTTATTTTTGTTTAGCTGTCCTATCTATTTACTTAAATTTTTCAATAGAAAGCTTAGCCACTCGATTAATTTTGAGTTCAGATCCTATGCTCATCCAAAAGGTCCCTTATGTCTTGAGTGGCCTTATTAAGAGTTCAGTTTAAGTAAGAGCTCGAACTCAGCCTCAGCAAAATATTCCAAGCCCAATACCAGCAACCAATTTATGCTTTGGTTATGCATCCGATCTCTTAGAAAATCTATGTATAAAAGGAATATATATTTTGAAATTTTGCATTGTTATTCTTCGCATTAAATGCTCTCACTCCCTAGGATTGTTCTATATGGAAAAAATATGTATACCCCTGAGTTTTTATTTTGAAATCAAAAAATATTTAGAGGTCGCTCAAAGTGCCTAAAAATTTTCCATATATTATATGGGCGATAAAACAAGGTTTTGTACAAATGGTATACTATAAATCTTTAAAATCAATATTTTTCGATCGGAAAACTCTGTTTCTACTCAGGAGACTTCCAACAATAATACCCAGTTGTACCGATTTTTATGGGTGCCTTGATGGGATTTTAGGGGACCTATAAAAAATAATTAATATTAAACAATGGTTAAATCAACAATTGGGTATTATTATTGGAAGTCTCCTGAAGATAACCAAAATTTCACCGATTGATAATATTGATTTTCAAGAATTCTATACCATTTCTACGAAAAATTGTTTTTCCCGCATATAAAATAGTATACATTGAAAATTTTTAGCGCTTTGAGCGACCTCTACATATTTTGGATTTCAAAATATAAAAATAGGGTTATAAGTTTTTTATATATATATGTATATGTAGAATATGAGTATGTATGTACATACATAAGGTGGCGAACATATAAATAGAGGCGCGACATTTTAAAAAGTTTTGGCTATTTTTCTTTTCTTTATTTAATGCTTACTACTTTTATGAAAGTATTGCGTATTATCTAACAAAAACCATGTAAGTACGAGTTTTAAACTTTGTAGAAAAATTAGGAAAAGTCGGTAAATTTTTTACAAAATTGCATTAAAGGTTTTTACTTTTTCTCGCTCGAAATTTTGATGAAATTCGGTAGAATTTTTGCTAATTTTTGTACAGAAAAGAATCACAAGAAAAATATCCAAAACTTTTTAAAATGTCGCGTTCCAATTTTTGTTTTCGCCAATGTACGCACATACATGTGAGCTATCCATTTCACTTTCGAATTGACCCCATTTGATCTTTTAATTTTTACATGCATAGCAAGAAAAGAATTTACCAACTCTTCCTCTTCGCAGTTTACGCTTTTATGCTTACAGTGAACGTATGAGCTTACTTACGTAGTGAAAATGTGTGCATATTTTATTTTAGCAAACCAGATGCTGTTGCCCTCCTCCAAACCGACCTTGCTCAACGTCAGCGATGACACCAACTTCAATTAGCACCTTGTTTTTTTATTAAGAAACCAAAAAAGCGCCTTTAAACAAGTAGCAGCCAAAGCAACAACATTCACTTTGCCACACAGTACTCGTAGCTTGTCAACGCTTTTGCACCTTATGCACTTATTTTCTTCTGCAGTATTTGGGGAATACCCAGCAGACTTAATGACTCCAATATGCATGAAGTTAAGTTTAGCTATTTGAAAGTTAAAGTTAAATCATTCGTAAAACTTAACTACAGAAATTTCTATGGCATTTATAAAATTTACAAGTGAACGGCCTTAGGACCTAAAAGTAGAAAATAATTTTTTCTCAACCCATAGAATATGTCTTGATAAGTTTTGATTTTAAAGTTTTAGCAAAAGTCATTTTTAAACAATGAGATTTGGAATGAAAAACGTGATAGACAATGATTTTAATTTTTTAAGTTTTATTAAAAAAATCGAGCTTAATGACTCTTTTCAGAGCTTTATTTTTTGCTCAGAAAATAAAACTTAATTTTTGGGTATTTTTTAAGCAAATGCACAGAAACGCCCCAGTCCTGAAAGTAGTCAACACTGTACCCGCTAGTGATATCTAATTGGAATCAGTTGGCCCAAAACCTTTTAGGCCAAATGGGACACGACTGTTGAGCTTTACCGAAAAATGACACTGAACATGGCACAATGCCGAAACCGGTTTGTCTGCAAACCAAACTTGACAAGGGATGACGGAAATTCGTTCCAAAATAAATCATCTTACCACCCTGTCGGCAAAATCAACCAACACCAACACACAAGAAGAAGACTATTGAAACTTTTGAAGGACGCGAAGAATGGGCGACCGCGTGGATAGACAGGGGACGATTGCAATGAAAGTTAATGGGGAACGAAAAGAGAGAGAGAGAGAGAGAGAAAGATACAAGGACAAAAACAAAGACTGAATCGAAAACAAAGGCAAGGAAACACCAAAGATACGGATATTCCTACACATAGAAAAAGTTTAATACAAAGATAAAAATAAAGATAAGAGTGAAGATGAAGAGGAAGATGGCGATGAAGATGATGATTGAGATGAAGTTGAAGATGACGATGAAGATGTACCTTGTCGTCGTCTTTTTATTCGTCTTCACCTTTGTCTCCGTGTTCGGTTTT